CAGATAACTTGCAGCTGTGTTCTGAAGCCACACTTTAGATTATAGGAATTTCATTTGAGTCTGACATTGTTTTGGATTCGGGCACTGTTAAAATAGACAATGGTTGTAGCAGAGCTAGTAGCAGTGCTGATGATTGCAGCAACGAGGATGGGTCAATCACGGGGCGACCCATGTCCCTTAACTTCATATGTTGACTTTTATTAATATTTCCCTGGCTGGTGGGGTCAAATCTCTCTGCCCCTATGTTATCAGTTTAGGGCACCCGGTAGCAGCACAGTAGACAAGTGGTCAGCCAAATTGATTCTATTCAAAAATTGTTTATATGCATACGGTACGTGTTCCCTGTTTTCTTGTGTTCCCGCGCGTCCTTGAAACGGAGACGACCCAGAGGGCATATGAATTTCAAGGATACTCCGTCTGGCCTGTGTCCGTCCATGCACGAATGAATGTCCCCAAATCCACAGCCACCGAACTGTTCGATCAACCGTTTCCTCATTTTTTGCTAGACCTTGCTTGCAATTATTCTTTGCAACACCTTTCAATCAAGGGAGAAGGACTGAAGAAGATGCCGAAGATGTCGAAGGATGCGGACTCGGATGATGAAGAAAGTAGTGAGCCCAGTGTCTATGATTCTCTAGACGGCGAGGAAGAGAGTGACAGCGATGCAGAGGAGAGTGACAATAGTGAAGATGAGTTTGAAGATCAAGGATCGTCGGACGAAGAAGACGACTTGAAAGAAGAACAGCAGAAACCAGATGCAGATGTCTCCAAACTCGATTTGGAAGATAATCTCGAGTCTGCGTACGAAAAGTCACGAAAAATAAGCAGCAAGCAAGGCACTGAAAAAAGGGCCAAACCTGGCACTAGTAGTACAGATGCAGCAACGTTGACGCACACGGACAATTTGTCGTCGGACGATGAAGACGAAGACGGAACTACCAATCGAATCGGACGGGTCCCAATCCATTGGTACTCGGATTATGAGCATATTGGATACGACGCCCATGGAAACAAAACCATGAAATCGGCCAGTCTCGAAGAAGGAGATCGCCTCGATCAGGCCATTTCCAATGCCGACAATCGAGAGCAAAACAGATTTGTGGTACATGATGTACTGAATGACAAATCGGTAGCATTGACAACACGACAACTCGAACTCATTCGCAGGATTCAGTCAGGAGCCTATGCGCACCCGGAGTTTGACGGTAACCCGGATTATGTCGACTACTTCTCATCCATTCCCGAAGTGTCGGGGTTGAATACGAATCGGACAGAACCAAAAGCCAGATTCCAACCCAGTCAATGGGAAAAACTTCAGGTCGATCGCATGCTCGAAAAACTTGAACGAGGAGATATCAACATGGACTATCTCGCAGGGAAAGTTCGGGATATGAATGATGTTCGTAAAAAGAGAGGCGAGGATTCCAAACAGCCCTACTTGGTTTGGACTGGAGCCGAAGAAGATGAGTTGAATATGCGAAAGGGACCTCAGGCTATTCCACCGCCCAAGGTTGAACCACCTGGTCACGCTGAAAGTTACCGTCCACCCGATGAGTATCTGCCGACAGAAGAAGAAAAGAAAGAATGGGAAGACATGGATACCCAGGAAAGACCTCATGGTCGACTCGTGCCCAAAAAATTCCCAAACCTTCGATCTGTGGGAGCCTACGAACATGCCGTTACAGAGACATTTGAACGGTGTTTGGATCTATACTTGTGCCCACGTCAGTTGAAGCGTCGTTTGAATATTGATCCCGAGAGTTTGGTACCAAAGCTGCCGAAAGCTAGTGACCTCAGACCTTTCCCAACTGCTAAATGCATCGAGTATCGAGACGAACCGGAGGAAGGGCAGGACGCTCCATTTGTTCGTTGCTTGTCACCTAGTCCCGATGGACAATTCTTGGCCAGCGGCGCATCCGACGGATTTGTTCGCCTTTGGGAGGTTCAAACAGGCCGCCTTTTGAGAAAGTGGAATTTGAGCAAGCTCATCCGTGAGAATGGATTTCCAGGAGAAAACGACAATGACCCACCCAAGCCCGTTGTATGCCTTCAATGGAATCCAAACCGACGTCACCATTGCCTCGTTGCCTCTGTGGCGGTGTGCGTCGTCGTTATTGCAACAGGGACAGCAGGGGCTGAAGACGCCGAAATCACAGCTGCACTCCTTTCCGCTGCTCGAAAAGGTGGACACGTGACAAATGAAAGAGCTGCCAAAGCAGTCAAGTGGAAGGCGGTTGATTCGCACACTGGTGATCCCGTTAGTGCAGCGGATTCCCTCTCTGGGCCCGTGGCTCTTGTGTGCACCAACAGAGACGTTACCAGCGTTCGTTGGCATTCGAAGGGGGACTACTTTGTGACAGTTAGCCCAAAAGCACAGTCGGCGGCTGTTCTCATCCATCAACTCAGCAAGGGAAACTCGCAGCAACCCTTCAGCAAGACCAAAGGCGAAGCCCACTTGGCATGTTTCCATCCAACGAGACCATTTTTGTTCGTCTCGAGTCAACATCATGTTCGAGTCTATCACTTGGTGAAGCAGGCGATGGTGAAGCGTAAGTGGATTGTACCTTTATTTGTTCGTGGTGTGCTCATCATTGGTTCTCACGTGCGCGTTTGCAATCTGATGTACCTGGATGATGGCAGGGCTGGTATCTGGCTGCAAGTGGATATCATCGATAGATGTCCACCCTTCTGGCGACCACTTGATTGTTGGCAGCCTCGATCGTCGCCTGCTGTGGTTCGATCTTGATCTGTCCAGTAATCCTTTCAAAACGCTCAAATACCATGAACGGGGCCTGAGATCCGTTCAGTACCACTCCAAGCACCCGTTGATGGCTAGTTCGTCAGACGATGGCTCCATTCATGTTTTCCACTGCATGGTGTACTCTGATTTGATGAAGAATCCGCTGATCGTCCCCGTAAAGATTTTGAAGGGACACACTGTCACCAAAAAGATGGGTGTTCTAGCGGTCGCCTTTCACCCAACCCAGCCCTGGCTCTTCTCGGGCGGTGCGGATGGACGGATCTTTCTGTTCCAGGATGTCTAGCTGGTTAGCGTTTGAGGGCTTGGCATCAGTCTCCTCTAAGTGTAAGACTTTTGGAAATTTCTAGTATTAATAGTAGATCTATGAGAACTGCACCATCTATATTTGTGGTGAAGTGCTTTGGCAGCACTACAAACTGCTGGGTTGCCGTTTGATTGCGTCAATTGCTTCCTGCTCCTCGGTCGAAAGAGAAATGGAAGAACGCCCACTGTATGTGATTTCGCATTCTTCGTCTGGATTTCCGTCCTCTGTCATGCAAGGACGGAAGAGGTAACTGGCAGCTTTGCCAAAGTTGTGCACTTTGAGAGGGTCCCGGCCTGTCCCATCGTCAAGGAGCTTTGCACCATAACAGAAGTTCAGGGTCAGGATCTTGGGGGGGGGCAACTGAGCATGCTGGTAGGTGCAGCATCCGTAAGCATTTTTCCACGCACCTTTAGACACTTAGACTTGGTGTCAAATACAAGGGGTAGTCCATTGGGGATTTCCAACCCGGTAATCTTCTCCTCTGGGATGTCACAAAGGTGCATCAAAAGCCCGCGAATGGCATTCTCGCTGCTTGATATCAGCACTCTCTTTCCAGGCTCAATCGCCTCGGGCACTATTGGCAATGAGATAGAGTGAGGTTTCACATTGAATGGGACAGACAAAAAAACTGGGTCTCAAAGCTCACCTATCCGTTCGGTGAAGAAGGGGATGGTACGGTCCATGCAATCCTTCAACGACTCTGACTTTGGAAACTTTCGGTGGAGCACAACTTTGCCTTGCTCAATGCTTCGAATTGTGCTCTCCCGCACGGAATATCTCGCATCATTCAAGTACTTCTGATATCGCATATCATTTCCGGGGTAGTGTTGAGAGAAAGAGGACACCGGGGGAGGTCTACAAGAAAGCATTGGTGGTGTCAAATCGGTGGCAAAGCATACACGAATCATACACGAAGCAAACACATAAGTTGACCTTCCTGTAACGTACCTAACTTTGTATCCCCGACGCCACGCCTTGAACTGTTCTGATCCGTGCCTCTGCTTTACCATTTGCTTCGACAGACCAGTGAGTTCGCCATACCTGCGAGAAGGAGCACATCAGTTAACTTGTGTGAGCTCGAATCGGCGGAAGCTGAGTGCCTCAGTCGATCTGCCGTCTAGTCACTTACATTCTCTCGTTCAGTCTCCAGCTCTTGATAATCGGCAGCCAAAGGCAGTCCATCTCGTCCATAACATGCCATGCTGTATCAATGGCCCTGATAAAAGATCATGCAACAGGATGCTGAGACAAACTCCAGCAAACGCCCAAGTTGGGAAAAAACTGCATTCTGGACAGCCACTAACCTTGAAAGCCAGCTGGTGTACACAACGTCAAACTCAAATCCATGCGTCTTGAGAAGGCGTCCAGCGGCCTTGGCTTCCTCCACACCTTCAGGTGCCAGCGGCGCATCCTGGAAGAAGAATGCATGTGTGAGATGAAAGAAAAACTACCCCAAGTGGCAAGACAGAACTTTCGGTGCACCAACCTCCCAACCCGTGAACAAACCCAGCTTGTTGTGTTCAGTCTTTCCATGCCTGATGATAACTATCACGCTGTCACGCAAGGTGGGGACGCTTCCCATGCCAGGGATTAGTGAGGCACTGGGGATGGACTTGACGCAGGGTCGATCCGAAGTGGAAATGAGATTGGCAAAGGGCGTTTCATCGTCATCTTCTTCCTCCTCTTCGGCATCCAGGACAACAGTATCTTCTTTTTGATGAAATGTGCCTTCTGGATCAAACTGCTCTCCTGCAGCCAACTCATCAATCCCTTTAGCCCAAATATCATCCATCATCTTCTGCATGTTCCCGTCGTTCCCATCATCCTCCAACATTTTACTGGGATCAATGAATTGCCCAGCCCATTCTCCTAGTTCTCTTTCTGCTTTCAGCTTGTAGAGACTTCGCTCTAAAGACGTCATGGGTGTCTTGTTTCTCGTCAGAGTTGAATTGTATCCTGGCACTTGTAGTGACCACTCTTCCTCACGAGCCAAAGCTTCTCGCAGCAACCCTGGCTTTTCTAGGAATATGCCATTCATGTACTCCTGCCCTATAGTTTGTTTGTCGCCAGTTGGAGGAATGGGTTCCATGTCTTTGTTGAATTTGTACACAATGGGGATGCCAGTGGGGATTGCCACATCTTGAATCTCGTCATCCCCAATGTTATCAATGATTTTGACCAAGCCCCTCAAAGTATTGGCTTTCAAGAAAGGCAAATGGCGGAAGGAAGTGCGTAATGAGAAGTCGAATGAAACCACCTTTGCGAATTGTATCTACTCAACAAACAAACTCACCATGAGCCACCACCATCACGTTTCGCCCTCCTTGGAGTTCGTACAGAATCTTATCTTGCCATACGGGTTTGGTGCGTTCCATACAGTCCATAAGGGACTCGGTGAGTGGAATCTGGTCAGCTGGGAGATGCAAGAAAACGCAATGCGTAAGCGACAGCTATCATGATGGTGTGGTGATGGGCGTGGCACTTGGTTTACCTGTCAAGTCAGCATACTTTCTGTCCTTTCCAGGCCAGTAAGGACTGTTTTTTGTCAATGGTGGGGGTGGAGTTCTCAAGGACCCACGCCATTCCTGTACTAGCTCCGAACCCAGCTTTTCTGCTGTTTCAATCTTGCTCAATCCTGTGAGTGCTCCATACCTAAGAGGTGATGATATCGGAGGCAGTGAGCTGTTTGAAACTCCGTCCTTAAGCATTCAATCATAGGGGCGCCCCCAACTTACATTCTTTCGTTGAGCCTCCAGCTCTTGAAGACAGGTAGATAGACTTCATTGAGCTCTAGCAGAATGATCCATGCCGAACGAATGGCCCTTTTCAATCGACTCGTGAAGACCATATCAATCTCAATGCCCATTTCCAACAGGAGCCTTGCTGCATGTTCTACCTCCCTCACACCGTCGGCTGAAAGATCCGGGTCACTCCAACCTTGTAGATGAGAAGAAATCGGAGTTGCAACGAAATGGTAGCGACAAAAAGACGTGGAAGAAGGTGAGGCCTCACGGGCAGCTCCTAGCTAGATAGTTGGAGCACGGCCATGATAAAGATGATCCTACATACCTGTGAAGGTCTTGTTTTGATTCCAGCCACTCTCCCCATGGCGCACCAGTATGAGTGTTCCTGGTTCCGTGACTTTGGGTCCATTCGAGATTCTCCGAAGAGCTCGAAAGGGGAACTTGATCATGGTGTCCGCGAAGGATCGTTTTTTCTTTCTCATGGCTTGATATCCATCTTCGTCTTCCATATCGAACGCCTGGTTCCGTGTCAATGGAGTGCCATCCACTCGAAGTGAGTTATGGTAGACGGTGTTGCTCGTGTATCCGTTGAGTGAGTAGCCTCCATAGTCGATTTGGTTCATTTTGACATCTACAACATTGCCAAGTTCGTCTTCTTCTTGCTCGGATGGGTTGTTGTTTTCTGCAACAACGGTTTTTTCGGTAGCATTGGGAAAAGTAACCAGAGTTGCCCCGGTAGTAGGCTCTTGGTCATTATTTGGGGCCATCCATGATTTTGGCAGAGTAATTCTGGCAGCTTTTGATCCAAGTCCAAGATTCGGGCTGTGCAACACAAATCCATGGGTAGACCATGGAAAAATGAGGCTGCAATAAGCAATGGCAGCAACTGCACAATCTCGACGTTTCCACATCCTGTCAAGCAATCTACAAATGACAAATGCGCTCTCTAAAAGGAAGGAGGATCCGGAATTGGGGGCTTTTAGCGTTGAGATGATGATGCTATTGTGATGGTCCAACAGCTGCTGATCTCTAACAACGTGATAGACACAACAATAACAACATGATGCACAGGGTCCAGAAAGAGTTCTCGCTTTTTGATGTGATATCGTCGAATGAGAGGAAAGCCACGTCACTCAAAAAGAGGCCAATGAAACGTCAGCGAGGATAGAAAAGCGTTTTTAGCGGCTTTGCAGGCTCTCCTCAATACTATTTGACAGCTCTGCTAGCTACCGGTACCGGTAGCTAGTCGAGCCGCTCGAGCTCCATCCATGCATGATCGAGCCATGGCATTGAGCATGCGATGATCGAGGATCGAAGCACTTCTTTCAACCCGAGGCTGAGACGGTAATATCTACTGTTACCTCTTTGATCAATCAATCAAAAAGGATCCGACCATGCCTCCTTCAAAGCGCCGCAAGACCAACAAGGCAGGGTCTCGTTCGAACTCCAGGGCGACCACGCCTGTTCCTCCTAGCCGCCCGGAATCTCCTGTACCCAACAACGAAACATTGAATCCTCCACTCGTTTTGGCCAGTGCCAAGCGTCGGGGTGTGTTCGAATGCGACTATTGTCATTCCGATATTTCCCAGCATTGCCGTATCCGATGTGCCCATTGTCCGGACTTTGATCTATGTACGGAATGTTTCTTGACGACGGATCATACGACTGCCGTAGCCAGACTCAAGGCAAGCCATGATGCCAAGACGGCCGTGGACAATCTTTCTTCTTCTGAGCCGCAGTATGGAGGAGGAAAAAAGAGCCCGGGAGCATCATCCTGGGCATCGGGATCAGGCGCCATCAACCATAACGATTCACATGGATACCGGGTCTGTGATAGTACCCGCTACCCCATGTTTCCGCCACCCCGGGGCATCCGGCCTGCAAGAGCATTTGGCATTGCCGACACTCCGGCCTCCAACAATAACAATAATGGAACTACCAGTACCAGTAAAGTGAATTTCAGTGAAGAAACATTGGCCAAAGACGAAGAAACCAAGAAAAAGGAGGATACTGCCATGGATATTGTTGATTCACCTCAAAAACCCAAAAAGGACACGGAAAACTTGGAGGGAGCATCCACTCCTGGGCCACTCGCACAGGATGCAATGCAAATGAATCTTCCGGATGACCCCAAGTTGGTTTGGACTGTCGAAGAAGACTTGAGGCTTCTCGATGCCATTGAGGAAAATGGACTCGGAAATTGGTTAGACATTTCAGAAGCCATTAGTGGAAATGGATCCGTTGGAAAGTCTCCCAAGCGTTGCATGGAACGCTACTTTGATGATTTCTTGGGCCGCTATGGGCATATTCTACCTCCTTATACCTTGGTGGCCGCAGAAGACGCACCTGCAGAGGAGAAAATACCGGGTGATGGTGGAGGAGATGGCAAAGCCGATGTTGCCCCTTTGGAAGCCGCCGGAACTCCTGGCAGTGTCTCCAGCGGCACCAAGGATATGGACCCCACCCGCCTTTCAAAGCGCCGTCATAGCATCATGGTTCGGACGAACACTTCCACTTCCAATCAGTCACTCAACCGGTTCAATAAGATTTTGAAACCTGCGCCAACAGATTCTCTGCCAGAGTATCAAGTGGTCCTAAAGGCGTTTCCCAACCCGTTAGTTCCAAAAAGGGAGATTCCTGTTGTTAGGGGACAAGAAGTCTTGAGAGACCAATCTGCCCGAGCGGAACATGCGTTTGTGAAACTCATTAGTACGCAAAAAGAGGATGAAGCGGCCGCAACTCGCAAACTTTGGAAGGAAACAAAGTTGAACACACCGGGTGGTCCCACGGTACTGCCCGAACGACCAGATGATGTCGTACAGGCCCCAGGATCTCAGCTCGCTGGATTCATGCCGCGTCGGGGAGACTTTGACATTGAGTATGAAAATGACGCGGAACAGGCGTTGGCGGATATGGAATTCCTGCCAGGCGAATCGGACGCAGATAAGCTATTGAAACTACAAGTGCTCCGTAAGTGTTGCACAAGTTCATTATTGGCTTTCCTCCAATGTGGTCCGCACCCTCACTGGTTATTTTGCTCACTCTTCGCCCAGAAATCTACAACGAAAAGTTGAGAGAACGCGAGAAAAGAAAGGCGTTCATCGTTGAGCGCAGACTTCACGATTATCGTCACAACCAAAAAGTGGACGAATCGCTTCCTCGTGATGAACGCGATTTGGTTCGTCGCATGCGTCTCGTGGAACGTTTTCATGATCCCGACGAACACAAGAAATTTCTCGAAGATGTGCTCAAAGCCAAAGCCCTGCGAAAGGAGATTGCCAAATTGCAAATGTATCGTAGGATTGGCATCACATCGGAGGTCGAAGCGGAAAGGTACGAGTTGGACAAGGCGAGAAGAATATTTCACAAGACGGCTGTCTTGAAAGAAGCAGCCCTACAAGGCGAGGATAAAATAGCCAGCACTGCAGCATCGGGGGACACGACGGCGACTGCATCCGGCGGTACCCCAGGAAAAAAGGCCGAGCCACCCGCAGAGGAAAAGACCTTATTATGGAAGGGATACAATTACAACAATCGAGATCGCCGCCGTTCCTTGGGCTCTCAAGACGGGGCCAACGCGGGTAGCGATATCGTCCAAATGCAGGAATCATCCAAAGAAGCCACAGGCGAAGAATCAAAGGAAGGAGCAGCGAGTTCTGACTCGAAAGAGACGTCATCAACAGGGAACAACACTGGTTCACAGGGATTTGCAATTGAAACAATGGAAGGATTCAAATTCCTCACCCGCAAAGAAGTTGAGCTTTGCCGACGGTTGGAGTTGCCACCCAAACTGTACACCGAGGTGAAGAAGGTCCTCATCCATGAGTCGTTCAATATGGGACTGGTAGATAGTGACGACTCTGTCAGTCGTCGCACCATTGTGCAGATTGACGTAGAGAAGAAAGGGGCCGTTGTCGACTTCTTTGTGAGAGCCGGGTGGCTCAAGGGTACCAGCAGCGTGAGCAGTTCGACGTGAAGGGATGCACCATGTACGGTACGAGAACAATGGCCTCGAAGCGTTTGCGCCGTGAATAGCTTCGCTACGGCGCCGGAAGACTGTGGTCGGTCAGCAATAAACCAAGACTATAACAGTAGCCCACGCTGAAACATGAGGATAAACAATTCACTATTTAGTCTGTTACGTTTTATGTTTTGAGCTGATTCTCCAAAGCTTAAGTTTTGCCGTTGCAACCTACCAGGTACAAGGAAAGTGAGTGGTACTCGTATCGGTGGTCTCGGGGAAACGTTTTCGGCGCATCTGTTGTCCACCACGAGTTCGTTGATTGATTGCCTTGCGAGCTAGCAATACATACTGGTACGTACCAAACTTGCTTGCAAGCACAGTACTATAGAGTAGGAATATAAAATAGCATTAGAAGTATATGATTTGTTTCAAGCACGTTTCCACCGTACCAAGGACTGTTCAGCCTTAACGCAGCTCCTCCCAGCTGCTCAAGAAGTTTGGGGAAGTCGTGATCGCCACACCCCCATTGGAGGTGAGTGAAAAGCGATTTATACCTGCTACAAGTAATTCTACGAGTACCAACCTCCACCGGTGATGTAAGGACGCAACCCATCAACCCATCCCGTTTCCCAGAACTCTGCTGATGATCAACCTAAATTTGCCTTTGGCAAACATTCAACTCGCAGCCCAGCAGCCCAACCCCACGAAAGCAGCTGCCCACATGCCGAGCTCACACAGGAAAAGATTGTTCATGAAATTGTCGCCCAGTTCAAAGTGGACATGTGTACTGATAAGGGCGCGCAGTTTCTCGTAGGCTGTGATGCGATTCGAAGAGTCGTGCTGAGTCTGCTGCTGAGCATTGAGCCAAAGAGGAAGATACATAGATGACCCCTTTGCAGCCTGCGAATGATCTCCTCCACTCACATGATCGTCAGCGTCATCTCCGCCTTCATCGCTGTCACCGATTCTGTCATCAGCGTCTTCATCACTCTTTGCGTGGTCTGTTGTGTCTAATCGGGCGTATCCATCTTCCTCGTCTGTCATTTGAATAGTTTTCCTCTCGAGTAGCAGAATCCCCCAGAAACATCGCCGAACAATCTCAGCTATCGGCAGCAGAACCCCCACATAGCTGTTGACGTCCGACGAAAACGTAGCCACCTTTTCTTCTCCTGAAGACGAGAGCCGATAAGCGGGGATGAAACATAACATCCAAGTGAATCTCATGCAGGCGTTGAATGCAAATATTCTCCAGTAGAAAGTCTCCGTTTTGTAGAGTCGCTTTGACCTCAGTCGAATGTACTGCAAGCTGTCAAGTCGAGCTTTCAATCGCCGCCATCCCTCTGCCACTGGCGTAAACACATACATTTGCAGAGTCATCAAAACAACCGAGTCCGGCATGATTGAAGATATGTTAGTCAGCCAGTTCTCCACGTTGATTGCATCCAAGGAGGATCTAAAGTGATGGGGTGGAATTTCGAACAAATCCCAATCCATGACGACATCCCAGAATATTTGGTATGCGAGCGCCAGGAGGAACAACACTATCCAGAACGGAGACCGCTTGCTCTCGGGATGGGTCATGCCGTAACTGCAAAGACAAACATTGTAAGGATGAGTTTTTGGATTGCCGGGTGCAAAATGGACGAAAAGTGCACCACTTAGACTTACAGAATGACCAGTGTGGCAAGTAAATGCTTAAATGCGTTTCCCAAGTGAGGCCATCTCTTTCCTTCGTCATAAGCTTGTCGTAGAGTTTGAAGGAATTTCCACCACAAGGGTAGCAAGGCACATGATGGCAACACCACATTATGCAAAACCCAACTTCCTTCCAAAATCCTTCCACTTTCCGTCAGGCCATATCTTCCAGTAACGGTGCCCCAAATAACTGTGAAATAGTACGACAAGGCAAATAGAATGTCTTGCCCCGGTCGCACCAGACTGGTAATCGCATCTCCAATGAAAGCATCTCGGAAGCTGACAGGGTGAAAGGGAGACATGACGGTGAATTTCAAAGTGGACCAAAATCGTCCTCGTCGCCCTGGCGGTACAAAGGATCTGACAATGAGGACGGATAAAAAGATGATTGGAAGGATTTTTGCGGGTGCTTCGCTGTCGGCGTCCTTGGGTTTAATGTGGTTGAATGCTTCAATGAACAAGTGGAAATTGAACAGGACGGGCATGGACAGATCTAGTGCTGCCCCCACCACAGCGGGTCCAGAAGGTGCGTACACGGCATTTTGTGTGCTGCTGGCAGAAGATCGAAAGAAGAAAAAGGACCCCATGCGAGTAATTTGTGGATGATTTTCTCGAAATTGGTTGATACTTGAATTCAGGCCACTGGTGTTGTTGCTGTTATTGCCGCCACTAGTGTTGTTGTTATCGTGAGCAGTTCCGTCAGCCAATCGCTGTGATTCTTCTGCAGAACTGCCATGTCCATTGGATCGACAGAGTAGTTTTCTTGGATTCGTGAGACAACCTTCGTCCTCCGCTTGACTATCGCCCATAAGTTGGTCGCTTCCTTGCGATTGATCATCAGCCTGTGAGGAATCATCTGAGCCCCACCCCAGACTAGAATCAAAAGATCCGGCTCGGAGGGGTCGATTTTGGGTAGTTGTCGCTGTGAGTTCGACATCGCCCAAAATGCTCCGATGGTGTGGATTGTTGATGCGTGCCTCGTCAAAACTGACTACCCGGCGACTGCTTTTCCCTGGTTGACCCTCCATATTGCTATTGCTTCTGCTGGTGTTTGCGGAATCTCCAACAAGGCCTTCTTCAATGGACCGGCTTCGTCGCCTCAATTCGACCGCTTCTGGACAGGGCGCCCCAGCAGCTAAATCAGCCTCATTCCGAGGGGACACAACTGAATGAGGAACCAAGGGAGCTGTTTCTTCTGCTAAGGGGCCACTGGTATTGTTGCTTGATTCCCGAGGAGATGATTGAGAGGTTGCTGGACACTCAACTCCGTGCGTTATTCCGTGAGCAGTCCCAGGCAAAAATAACAGCTCGTCACAGGCTACCCCATTTCTCCGCCATGTCCGTAGGGACAACGCCGACATCATTAGTGTAAAAGCCACCAATGCTGGTCCTGATAATGCAACAGAATGCATGACATGAGACGAAAATAATCATGGGCCAACCGGTTCGTCTGGCAAAGCAACAATGACTGCCACTCACCGCGATAAACTCTCAGACTCGAGACATCATGAGTCTTTGTCGTCAAGTCATACGCCAGGACCATTGCCAGTATTATCAACACTGTTGCCTTTGGCTTGAGCACTCGCTCAGACATAAAGAAAGATCCTACGGCGGCAACGACGCTGACATCCATGGTGGTGAATGGTATACAGTACTATTGGAGGCAAGATAGGTTTGTTACTTTCTTTTGTTCCTACGAAATGGCGAAAAATGGGGAGACAGAGAGCTTTTTGAAAACTGGGGGGACTGAAATTACCTTGCTTGCAAAACGGACGTAATCAAGCCGTCTAAGCTGGGAAAAGAATGTTTCGCTGCCATTTGGATGCAAGGTAGATGTGGTATTATTCAACCAGTTTTCGCTAAATACTAGTAGAAATTATTCTATACTAGCTAGTAAAACATTTAACCCTAAGTTTACCTGAACTACCAGCATAAAGCAATTTTGTTAAAAAATATATTTCGCAATCCGGGTGGTACCAGGCTTGTCACGCAATCAGTGTAATTGTACTTGTACACCACTAGCTACATGTAGTAGAGTGGGCTATGGAAGTGCTGGTACTGGTACCGGTATATTAGTGCACCATGCAGACATGCAGACGTGATGGTGTGGCCAGGTACCAGTATGATACCATGCAGCATGCAGGTGCAAGTCGAAGGTCGTCAGAACGTATTAGAATGATGCTGATTGGAAATTGCTTGGGACAGAGAATTCGAGGCAAACCGTAAGACGACAGCCGCTGAGACAGACCTCTGGGCCCCGGGCATCAACGGTTGGGACGAATGGAAGGAAAAGGCAGAAAATCTACGATTGCGAGCTAGCTAGCTAATGTATCAGGTACTGGCGCAGTTCATTGTTGCCGATGTCATGCACAAGGCCAAGACCACGTTCCTACCGGTATGCTCACTGTTCTCCCTCCACCCAATCCAATCCAATCCAATATTGCCCACCACCAAGCAAATTGTGATATGTGAATTGTTTAATGCAGTGCTACTTGGTGTTCATTTTGTGTGTGATACGTCTCCTGGTGGTAACTTTGGAGACGGAAGAAATTGTGGACTCCAGCATGCCCACCACCGTGAACGTCCCTCCGATAATAGCCATGACGGAGGTAATGTAATCATACCATGTTCTCGATTCCCATTCATACGAAACGGCGATGGGTGAAAGGTCATACATGAACTTTGCTTCCGGGACCACATCGCTGCGGTAGTAGGAAAGCTGGCTGTTTTGAAGGATCTGGTATGCTTTGAAAACGCGGTTGCCTCTCCTCAAACCTTCCACGTTTGTTGTGACAATCTTGAGATAGTGATGGTATGCCTCGTGCAGTTCGTGTGTGACGTAGACATTGCCGTTCATGGGTTTCAGCTTGTTTCGCACTTGGTTGGGAATGATGGAGTTGTCTTCCATGAGTCGTTCGGCAAAGGGTTCTCCCACGGAAAGATGGTGCACTAGGTGCGAAACGTTTGTCATGTGTGGAACCAAGTCATGGTGGGGAGACCTGGCTTGAATGTGAAAGTTTCCGGGGGCCCGATCCAAGAGCAAATGCCCCGCAAGCTGACATCCAGGATGCTCCGAGTCGACCCAACTGTGGTGCATTCGTTGCCTCCTTCGCCTCACTTTTTCAGCCCACTCGGATTCCTCGTCCGACCGTTCATCTCCTTCTAGGCGAGCCTTGGCGCCTATCGTTTTTCCGTCACCAAAATCAAATTGTTGTCAAAATAATGAATAAATAAATGAACAGAAGAACAAAATCAAATCACACGTCATAGCAAAGGTAAACGGGGGTATGTAAAGAATGATGCAGAGTCAGCAAAAAGTCGGTATCAGAAAATAACATCGCTCGAGACAGGGATGACACTTACGCTGATGAGCGAGTTGTACATTTCGTTTCTTTTCATCTCCGAGATCCTCCTTGTGTTTGTCTTCTATTTGCTGCAACCAATCGGCCATTTCTACGACGGTTCTATGCCCACGATAGTCCCCTGCTCTCCACCTTTCTCCATCGACAAAGAGCCTGAGAGTGGGATATGCCATGAGCCCTTCGGCCAGGCACAAATCCCTGTGCTCTACGCAATCGACTTTGGCAATCATGACTGGCAATTCGACCTTTTTGGCATGTTCTAGTTCTTCCTCTGAATACTCGTGGGCACTTTGCTCCGCAACGTGCTCGGCGACATCTGTCATTACCTCCGCCAGTGTTTCCCTTTGAAAGATGAAAGGAAAATAGTCAGCTCCATTCTTTTTCATGGGAATCCTGAATCGAGTCCAGAATTTCTTTGTGGTTACTTACCAAGTAGGAGCCAACTGCCGACAGTGGGAACACCAACTGGCATAGAAATCGACAAACAAGTATTCATTATTTCTCTTGGCGAATTCGAAGGTTTCGGCATCCAAACTAACAGCATCTTCTCCATTTGCATAGAGTTCGTCCAATGAGGCCGTCACCGATTCGTCGTGCAGTTCAATTTCCGTTTGGTGTTTATTTCTGCCCTGATACCGCCGTCGGATCCCTTCGCTATCGACATGCCATTTTGTGACATGAGTGCTGACATTCTGTTCGGTACCCAAGCTGCTGACCACATCTACCACGGCATACTCGCATTTCAAGTCCTGAGATAACACAGGAAACTCAAGTAAGGATCTGAAACAAGTTTTTACAAGAGCATCGAGACGGGGATATCATGACATACCATCATGGTGATGTTGAAATTCACTCGAATGCGAGGATCATCGCTCTTGTCCAGAGACACCGAGGCTTCGGCACTATAAAAAGTGACAGTTCACACAGTCATGGAGTGAGTCAACTTTTTCAGTTTGGGAAGTACATCAACAACATTATTCCCAACGCCACATAACATACCGCTTCTGCATGTAATCCCTTGTTTCCAGCATGAACAGCATCAGCATCACCATGACTGCAAGATAACTAAAGACCGATCCCTGTCGAGTGCCTTCGGTCAGATCTGTCGGCACCCGCCGATACATATCTACACCCGCTGCCCATTTTCGTCTCGAAGCTCCTGCTTGCATCCTTTCTATAAAGATCTGTTCTGTACTAGCTAGCTACCGTCCTGGAGACAACCACAACACGCAACCAGTATGGTACGAGAACGCAACAAATACAAATTAAGTCGATCGCAGATCGGAAGACTGTTGCTGGGTGAAGCAATGCCAACAAGCAACGGCGAGAAAGGATCGCGCGGATCTTTCCAAACTGGTTGGATTTTTGACGCACTACGTACAGACGAAATCTTTTCCTGAGTGCGGCTACCTCAACCTTAAGAATACTAAATGAACTTATTTTGCAGCCAGCAACCAAACGAATAACCTGTCCTCTTTGTCAAGGCTACCGTATGAAAGAGACCAACATTGTTACCCAACAATGCTATCAGACCCCGGAGACGCAGATCGAACGACAACAATGGCTCCGTACGTCGAGGAGCTTTAGAAGCGAAAGGTCGATTATTCATCCAATGATTCACGATCCATGTCTAGGTCCAAGTTGTCTACATGTACCAATACGTAGGCTATCTATCTGGCATCTCAGAAGAGATGCTATTATTTTGATAATTTCAGAGGGGACTAATAGATGATGATCTAGATCTCGAGTCGTTAGCTAGCAATGTGGTGGTGTGTGTTGAGATAGCTCCTATGCTATTTCTTTGTTTTGTTGTCCTGTACTTTCGACCAATTCTGAACAACAAGGTAGACAACCATGCTCCCTGCGAAGAGAAGGAAACTCCTTTGAAGATCCTTGCCAGTAAGGCAGGACGAGCAAGAGTCTGATTTAGCCATGGCTGATGAACGTCGAGTTGTTTGGTAGGTTCACTGTGTGTTGGGGCGCATGGGGGGTTGTCAGACGACTTCTTCGGCAAGCTTTGATTTTCTCAACCGTACCGTACCGTAGTACCAAAATCTAAGAAATTGCTCATTATTTTTATCCTTTTTCAGAGATCTTTGTCATTTTAAATTATTTATTATTATCACGTGACACGTTGCTGTCTTCACCCTCTGAAGAACGACAACGACCTGTCCTGTTGTCGATGGTCAGTTTGTTCATCCCTTTGCAGCAATGAAGAACGGGTCCATGTTATCAAGCCTTTGTGGTTGTGTCGACTGTCCGCCAGCCAAGCCGCTTCATCTCCTGGTACAGGGTCCAAGCCGTTCAGGACGTTCCAGCATGGCCATGGACCTGGCCGTGGAAAAGGCCTCCAATGCCGATTGTCACTGTAAGCAGCAGCAGTCGAACAATGGGACAGCTACCAACAACCGGCTGTGTCAATGTCGACCAGTGGCTTTGCTTCGAGTTGATTCCAGAGTGAACACGTTCCCACTACGATGCCACCAACAGCATCATAAACAATCGTCATCAGACCCATCTAATGCTGACAACGGCACTACATGTATGAATGGAAGCCACAATACAACTGCCTGGACGAAACCAAACCTTCGAAAGATTCAAGTGCATCACGCGCTGACTCTCAAATCCTGTCTTGGATTTCTCCTGTCTCTTCAGGGCAAGCCCCACAATCAACAGCCGTATGCAGCCCTTGTCATTGATGACATTGATTGCCTGGCATCTTCATCTGGAGCGAAAGAAAACATTTTTTCCATCAGCCACACAGTTGCCATTCTCAAGGATACCATCAATTTCTTACACATACCGCCAGCAGTCGTTTGTATCACAATGAAGAATAAGGATCACCACAAGTTTCTTGCCTCTGGATTTGGAGCATCATTCTTTGACGGGATTGTCACTCTCACTGATCATTCCACAGCGTCATTGGCTGCTCCCAATTTTAACCAGCCACTTTGGAATCGAATTTGTCAAGCAAACACTGTGGTCCAGCAGGGATCCTCTTGGACGGCACAATTCACACCCAGTGGTAGTTGCTTTTCTGAAACGACGAAGAAAAAGAGAGTGGAGTATCTAATTGTGTGCAATGACAGCGGGAACAATCATCGAATATTTTGGGCTTTGGAATAACTGCATAATAAGAGAATATTAGATACTGGGTACAGTACAGTGCATGGAGCGTTGGTTTGTTCTACGGGGCACAACGATAGTCAGCAGCTAGCTAGCTATCGCTCAGCTTTTCGCATCGATTGCAGCCTACGGTACAGCACCCTTCCTACTGTATATTCTTTCGCTGTTCACATGCCAGAGGTTGTTACTACCGAGAATAATTCCTATTGGATTCGTTTATGCTACCACCAGCAGCAAACATTTGCTGTTTGATTTGTCGCTCGCTACCTGTACTTTATCGAAGGCTAGCCAGAGGCGAAATAGATGGTTGGAAAATAGTGCTGAATTACTAGATAGACTATTCAGAAACTTATGTATCGTACGTAGTTCTAACCAGTGACTTCCAAAAGCTCCATGGTGAAGACAAGGGCCGCACCGCCTGGAATGGCACCTCCAGCACCACGGTCACCGTAACCGAGCTCACTTGGGATATACAACTCCCACTTTGCTCCTTCTTTCATGAGCTGCATGGCTTCAGTCCATCCCTTGATAACTTGATTTGGGGCTAGTGTCAATGGTTCACCTCGTTTGTAGGAGGAATCAAATTCAGTGCCATCAATCAAAGCTCCAGCATAGTGGCATTTGCAGGGAGATGAAATGGAAGGTGATTTTCCTGTGATAGCAGAGAAAGAAAACAATCATTCAAGAGTCAGTTTCACTAAAGAGATATTCATCGCCACCGAGCCAACTTCTTTTTGTGGAAATCGTGGATGCTTGATGGCTCTGCCTTTAAAAGAGTCGCTGCCAATCGTACCTGTACCAGCCTTCAATTCTTTGTAGAGCAGTCCAGAAGGAAGTTTGACAACTCCTGCTTCTTTCTCCTTGGCTGCCAAGAAAGCCACGCCTTCAGGGTTGGTGCCTGCCGCAGCAAGCCCCCATAGCAACGATAACAACAGAACAACGGCACGCATCATCTTGGTTGTCTATTACAAGTTTTTTGTGAAAAAATAAATAAATAAATGCCAACTTGGATCTTTTTGTTGGTTTCGCGGGCGATCGATGAAGATCTCAAAACCGTTATGGCTTGGGGTACGGTAAGGTTAAGGCTAGTATCTTTTCTGTACATGTACTCTCGTTTGAAAATGTAGAACCATACCGGTACCGGGGGTAGCTCCCTTTGAAATGCCGAAATGCCATAGTCTAGTGTTGCTGCAGTATTAATACAAGCTAGGGAGGATTGGCTTGGCTTGGCTTTTGGAGGTCCAACTTTTCTTAGTTATCCTTCCATTATTATTACAGGTCACACAGTGCCAGTAGCCCCAGGAAACAGAGTTGGCTTCATCTTTCTGGTTTTGACATCATTTCTGTGTTTGAAATTGGTGGGTGTGTCAGTGAAGATTAGGAGTACGGTATGTATCATAAAATAATGGAGAAAGAAGTGGAAGGGGGCACATAGTTTGATCACAATACCAATGACAAGTCAGATCCCAAACGACCAGAACAGGCAGGGACAAAAGCAACAAGGGCTGAAGCTCTATATGAACACGCTGGCAAAGTTGATGAAAGAGCAAAAGCAATCAGAGAGCAGAGGAAAAGCTTCACGGCATCATTTCGTTCGCTAACATCCGACTTTGGTCTACGGTACCGGTAGCTATGTTTACGCGCCTCCAGGAAGTCCAACTCAACAGATTTTTGGAACCACCAATCATTCAGCCGAGCAAGACGCACCGGTACCGTACTGTACCGTAGGAGGCAACCGTACCGGTACCGTGCAGGCTTGCATGTACTTTAACTAAGATGCTCCTGACAGGTGTCGTCTCGGTCATTGATTTTTCATTTTTGAAACAGCTTCGAGATGAGGAGATGCGGTAAAATAAATTTTGATACAAACATTGAGAGTATGAACCCCATATTTACCCCAACTATTATTTGGAACCGGAAGGGGAGACAAGTGGACGACATGACCGCACACTTTCTTGGTCATCAATCAAAGATTTTTGGTCACGACAGGTCATTTTCTGTCAGTACTAATTCTTCCATAGTCAAAACCCTCATTTTAGGCGAAAAAATGAACGGACATCGGACATGAATTCTGGGCTCCTTCCGGCTGCTGTTGGATGCTGCCTGCAAGCCCCTGCACTATTGTCACAGCTATCGTCCCTCACTTCTTCTCGGACCCTTTTACTGTAAGAAGGACTAAACCACCCCAAGTGTTAGCAGTCGTCTCTGTGTCGAGGTTTGCTCATAGTATTCCAGAGGTGGCTAGCTCGTTCCGGTTGTACGATCAGAGACCTTCTTGTTACTTGTTGCCTCTTGTCTGCAGTGCTACAACTGATTGTGATCGTGTCAAAAGATCTCTCTCATCCTGGAGAACGCAAAAATAACATTCGCGGTGAACAGTTATACTACCATGGGAAGTGGATTCGCGATCAGGCGCCTGTTGGCCCCACTGCTGCTAGTGGGTATCTTCATGATGGCAATGGTTTCTGGGCAAGAGGTTTCAGCTGGGGGTAGCGTACCAGCACGCCCTGGCTCGGCTCCAGCCCCTGCTCCAGAACCAGCAAATGCAACGGCAAGTCCCTCCACCGAAGCACCAGGTACTAGTCAGGCAACTGCCACCAACGGTGATACTGAGGGAGCCGACGAAGATGAAGATGTGCTCGAGTTTGTGGAAGATGAACTGAACATGACCATGGGTGACTTTAACATGACCATGGATGACTTTAACATGACAAATATGACAGCACCTACCGAAGCTCCCACAATCCCTACCCTCCCACCCACCTCGGAAGATGGGTGTTATACCACTCTGGATGCTGTGTACTATGTTATCAGTGATGACGACAAGTTATTCCAACAGAAACGATTCGTCATGTGTCCAGATTCGGTCTTTGATGTTGGCTTTTTAGTCCCTGGAATTGGAATTGATAAAGGACAGGCTCCAATTGTACCCCGATCCAATACCGAACTTCTCTGTGGAGAAGACGGAAAGTCAACCAACAATTGCATCATCCGAGGAGGAGATTTTGGATTGATTGTTGTTCCTGTTTTCTTTCGACAAGATCTTGCTGTTAACAACGTGGTAATTAAAGGATTCACGTTCGTGGGGCAAGTTCAGTATGCCGCATTTGTCGCTTCCTCGGGAGATATTCGGTTTGAAGACTGTGTCTTTAGGGTACGCACCATTCATGTATCCTTGAATTTGTCAAGCCAAACCTCACATCCCTCACATGCGATTGCGTTGCTTTGCTTTGCTTGGTTGGTAATAGGACTCGGCGAACTTTGGTACTTTCGTCATGAACTTTGATTCAACTCTGGACCTCAGCAGAAGGTTGGACGAAGATACGTTCAAGAATCCGTGGGATCATGTCTTGGATTATGTGGAGAGGTACCGTAGTGGTCGTTTGCCCAGAAGGCTGGCAGCTGAGGTGGAAGATGTGGACCTGGCCCCTCAAGACGGTGTATCGGAGTATCAAGAAGAGCGTAATTTGCAAGCTGACGTCTTCAGATCATTAATTAAAGACTGCAGATTCGAGGTGAGTTGACTGCAAAGCGCAGCATGCGAGGGCTAGCAAATGAAAGCTTCCGTCACTCAATCATCTCTCCCCTGCAACAGAACTTGCAACAAGTGGAGCGAAAGCTTGGAGTGGAGTTTGGTATCTTCACGGTCAAAGGACCTGATCATGACATCGTCATGGAGGATTGCACGTTTGCCAACAACCAATTTGGAAATCAGGAATTGACGGTAAGTTGCCTTTGCATTTCTGATTCCGGAGATTGCCTGGCTGATTCCGGAGATTGCTCATCCACTTCCTCGATCCCAGCCCATTGGTTATGCTATCCTGATCCAGGGGGCTAAGATTAAGCTCGACGGCCTCTGTTTTGTTGACAATGATTTCCGTGGGAACGGAGTCGTCCTGCTCGAGCAGACACCTGACCCTTGGCTTGGAGGCACGGATGTGATGGACGGCGTCTACGTGACAGAGGACGATGATGACCTGGACTGTCCATTTGGTGCCTGGTTCGAAACCGACGCGGATCGTCGAAACGCAACGTTTTACTGCGTGAACCCCACAGCGGACGAGTGTGGTGGTGAACACATCGATATAGGGCCAAGACCCCCACTGTTCGCGCCACCAACGGAGAGCGCATCAGCTGGTCTGTGGTCTCACTTTGCCCTCTTCCTGGGATTGTCGTGTGCCGCACTCTTGCTATAGGCACTCCGGTCAGTATTGTATTTTTCATTAGCGAAGTTCAAGTTGGTTGGGTACAGTGATGGTCTGTTTTAACTTTGGAGATGAGTTGTGTGTACCGATAGAGTCCATTCGGTGTATTTACGGTGTGTTTAAGAAAGCAAGTTGAGTAATAGCATTTCATCATCGAAAGTCACTACTAGCTAGTAAGTAGTGCGGTACCAAGATTCGCATTAGACAACGCTACAATAGAAGCACATACTGGTGGGCTGTGCCTCTTGCCCTATGCTACGGTGCATTGTTTTACGCATCGCTGCCACTGTTGGAAATACTGCCAGCAGAAACCTCCCGCATAGCCGCGGAAGGGCCACCACCTTTTCGCACCGTGTGATTGTTCCCGTACCCAAACAATTCGTTCATATATTTCGAATCGTCAATCTTTCCTTCGCTTCCAGTGAATTTGGCTTTAGCCAGAGCAAAGTATGCCGCCATGGTCAAGAGGGAGTCACTGCCAGCTTGATGCTCTGCTCCGAGTCGTTGGCATCCGAGCTCATCCGCAATTCGTTGAAGACCTCCGTGAAAACGGTGCCCATCCAGGAGGCTTGTCATGTACTTGATATCATAAATACAGGGAAAGTAAACCTTCAGGTATTCAAAGAATGCCTTTTCGTCTGCTGGAAGGTCCACGGTGGTCAGAAGCTTCAGCAGATAACCATAGTCATATCCAGAATGGAATGAGACCCATTTGACACGATCATCCAACACTAGACCTGACACCATGAGGAGTTCTCCAAACACCAATGGATCAATGCCCCGAGTGGCATGATCTTCAAAGGAAATCCCAGATTTGTTGAGTAGATCAATCGAGTCCTGAGCAAACATGTCGCCATTTAGATCGAATTTGAAGTTGAACTGCCAACAGGGACATCCTGGACAAAAATTTCCATTCTCATCGGCAAAGCTCAATCCCAACTGGATGATTTTCAGCAAGTCAACATTGACTTTGAGCGACTTGTAGTGGTAGTCGGATGTGTAAGCTTCTGTGACTGGTTTTGCCACAACACCTGGAAATTCCGTGTCCATGGCCACATAGGGATATTTTTCAATGACTGATCGAATCACTGCCATTTCTTCCTGAACATTCTCGGCCCATACGTTTCTAATTTCCAGAGTCTCACTGCAGATAGAAAGAGAAAATGATTGAATTCCATCAGAGAAAAATGATTTGATGCCGGCTGGAAAACAGAGAGGATGCCCGCAAGGAATTCATGAGAATTGCTCACCCTTGGTACTGGAATGTGTACTTGGCCAGAGCATTTGATTGCGAGTTTCCGCTGGCACCACCCGGTGGAAATGGAGATGTGGACCGCCCCAAGTGCGGTGAGTTGGACCGAGACCGACTTGCCGGTCTGTAGCCACCCGAAGGAGACCCCAAAAGAGCTCCTCGCTGTGGATTGAACGGTGGTGACTCCGTGGACAGCGTTGACTTGGTCAACGATGCTGCCATTGCCATCAGATTGAACTGTAACTAACAATAGCCACCCCTTCGTTTCAGATAGTCGAATCACTGCAGGACAGCCGCAAGTCGACGAGTGTTGGCGGCGTTGCCATGGTTGTGTGCTTTTTCTTCGTTGCTTTTCGACACTAATATTATTTTTATAGAGTCGTGATACGGTAGGGTGAAGGCTAATCGAATCAGAATCGAATTGAATGGAATCGAGTTCGATTTGATTCGAATTGATCGAATCGAATAGAATCTTCAATCTTCGTCATTCGAAGACGACGATCGCTTGAGACGGATGCAGGCCAAGACCAACATTGATTGCATTATTTCATCCAACCACTGACAACAACGCAGTCGCTGTCTCATAGCTACCAGAGATAGGAGCTAGCTAGGAGTCCTCGTTGCGTTGGTGAAGGAGGAATGAAGCAAGTTGGCATCGCTCGAAGATCCTTCCTCTGGTCCAATTTGTCAGCTAGAAGATGTCCACCCCTCCAAGATCATAATGTTGCACACCCTCGCCGGTTTCATCATGACAATAGTCGTTTTCTCATCGATCGATGGACTGAAAGAGCTTCTTTTCCACCGAACGTCAACAAATGCTGGCCAATCGCAAGTAACAGCCAAGCCTTGTTTCGGTCCTTTTCATCTTCCAATGCACAAGATGAGAAGGATACTACTACTAGTAGTATCACTACAACTGCAAGCAATGAAGATGACGAAATCGAACAAAGACGAAGGGAAAAGAAACAACGATCATTACGACGTGTGGCAGCCCAGTATATTCCTCAGTGGCTGAAATCAGAGCCATTTTGCTTTGAGCGAACTGTGGCAGCCCTCAATCTCAACTTGTCCGCAGAACGATACCGAACTGGGACGTCCTTCACGGCCAAATCGGATCTTCAGGGGCAATATAGAAAGGTCTTTGTGGACAGCATTCCGTCCTTTACAAATTATGTAAGGACCAGCGATGAGCTTCCCGAGGGACTGAACAAGGCTTTGAATCGATTGGTGGATGCCGGCTTTTGTGACCAAGAGTTTTCAACGCTATATCGCAGTATTAAAGGAGGTGAATCAAAGCGGACGCAAACTGTCACGTTGCTTTCCCAAAAGCAAAAACAATATGAAGAGCGAAAACGAACAATCCAACTTATCAACGAAAAGATTGAAGAGTTGAAGGACGAACTAGTAGAGGTTCAATCTGAATACTCAAACATCCAGCAGATAATATCCAACCCATCTACAAAACAAACGGGCAAAAATTCAAGCGAGTCCAACTCGGTTGTGTCTATGATCGCATCGGCAGCCAGGATGGCACGAGAATCCAAGAAGGACGCACCCAACAACGATCCAGAGACTTCAGCGAGTGAGAATACGACTGGGCTTGAAAAGTCTTCTTTGGAACAACGCATGCAGAAACTCGAGCGACGAATTCGCAGCCGGGAAGATCATGTCGAATCCATTGTACATGGGACCAGGAAGGTGCTAGAGTCAATTGAAAATCTCCAGAAAGAGCTGGCAGAATCCCAAAGATCCATGTCCAATGAGACATACGCTGATACACAACAAATCGTCAATGAGACTCTACTGATACTTTGCGACTACCTGGCCCAGCATATTCAGACACAACATTCCAAACTCATCGAGCGATGGGCAAACCTTGACGACAAGACTGACCTGACCAAACCTCATGAATGGTATCCATATGCACGCCTTGAAAAACGAAAGATTGTATACCACGGAGGCCCGACAAACTCTGGAAAGACTTACACTGCGTTGCAGCGCTTGAAACAAGCAAAGACTGGTCTCTACGTGGGACCCTTGCGTTTGCTAGCAGGAGAGGTTTATGAGACTTTGAATTCTCAGGGGGTTTATACAAGTTTGGTACGCAAAAAGCAATACAATATGCATTCTCTGTACTGTGATTTCAGTCTGACATCCAAACTGGGCATCTTGTCCTTCCTCTTGGTTTCGCGCAATGAAAGGTCACGGGGCAGGAAAAACGAGAATTCGCCTTTTGCACACACATTGCTGCCACTGTAGAAATGGCAGGGAATCTGCTGGATAGGGAGGTATGTGCATAATTGCTTGGTGTCTTTCTACTACATTTTGTATACTAACGCAACTATGCACATGTTCAGTTTGATGTCGTTGTAGTCGATGAAATCCAGATGATTGAAGATAAGGACCGAGGCTTTGCTTGGACTCGAGCTTTGATGGGATTACGTTGCAAGGAGATTCATGTTTGCGGGGGATTGGAAGCGAAGTGTCTCGTTCAGAGAATAGCCCACGCATGTCATGATGACTTTCAACTACATGAATACAAGCGCTTCGGCGAACTTGTTGTTGCTGATAGTAGCCTGGCTACCCATCCAAATGAAATGAATGCTTACAAAAGGGTAGGTTCGTTCGCGTACCGGGACGAGATCCAGTACGATAGGAACACAGCATCCTTGAGCTCACATCATTTTCAGGTTCAACCAGGAGATTGCATTGTCGCTTTCAGCCGGAATGACATCTTTGCAATCCAGCGAGAAATCGAAGCTGCCGGGCACAAGTGCTGCATCATCTATGGAACCTTGCCGCCAGAGGTAAATGATTTTGTCTAGAGATATCCCTTGCAGATGCTTCATGCAGCGACGCTCATCGGTTACTTGGGCATTCTGTGCTCAGATTCGAACGGCTCAGGCGCAATTGTTCAATGACCCAGGTAGGTTGCAACCCAACTGGCTTTTTCCTTGATGATCAGAGGCAGCGCTTGTTTCTAAGTATTGACGTCTTGATTGGAATCAGACTCTGGGTATGACATTCTCATTGCATCTGACGCTATCGCCATGGGTTTGAATCTGAACATACGGAGAATCGTATTCAACACAGTCTACAAGAATGATGGAAACTCGATAGTACGACTTGGTCACTCAGCTGTGAAACAAATTGCGGGTAGGGCTGGTAGACGGAACAGCCATTTTCCAAACGGGATTGCTACATGTCGAAACCCCGCAGACTTGGAATATATTCGCCAATGCTTGCACACTGACATTGCTCCGATTGAAAAGGCTGGATTGGTTCCTTCATCTTCTCACATTGACTTATTTGGCGAAGCCCTGCAAGAGTACCATTACGGTGGACTAGACAAACATGGCAACAAGATAGTTCCTCATCTGCATACTCTTTTGCAGGAGTTTTCGGACATGGCTGTGGTCAAGGGCGACTTCTTCCTCTGTCGTCAGGGCGACATGTTGGCAGTCGCAAGGTGGTTAAAGGACATTGGTGGTTTGGATACTTCCCAAAAGTTCACGTTCTGTATGGCTCCAGTCAACACTTCGCAAGCAAAGGTGAAAGATGTTCTGGTAAAGTTTGGGAAAAAACTGGCAGCAGGGGAGGTTCCAGGCCTTACAAGAGGGTCGCCCGTAAAGCGCGCCAATTCATTTGTTGACTTGGCAACACTCTGCAGTATTTATTTGGACGTTGAACTCTTCATCTGGATGCAGAACAAGTTCCCTCCAATTAACTTGATGGAGCAACAAGCAGCCCTTGCAAGAAAGGAACGATGCTCAGCAATGATCAAACAAGGCTTGAATGAAACCGAGAAACTAAAGCTTGATCATTGCTACATCACACGGGATGCCAATCTTCGAACAGAGTGGACTCGCGAACAACAAAAGCTTGGTAGTAGTGACGATGACGTAATGAGCTTCGACGAGTCAGACACAGAGGCCGAGTTTCGAACCTACTTGTAACACACAGAAGTACCGGTAGTTAAAGAAAAAGAGGGAGGAACCGTATTCAGCACCAGCCTCATTTTCAGACCTCTGCTAGTTATGCGAGCCCCGACTGTGGACCAATGCCTGCACAAGAGGAGTGCACCTAGTTACTGGACCGGTCAGCCTTGCTTTCGAAGGGCCCTTAGGATTAGACAAAACCCCACCCAACCAGTCCAAAACCGACGTCGGCTACGGGGTAACTGATCATGTTTGGACAAACCAACAAACCAACATGCATCCCTGATGCCTGCATTGAAGTACGGGTTGGTGCTGACGGCAAAATCGATCCCAATACACCAATGCGTATGATGGACATGGCACTTGACATCAATGCAAACACTGTGTGAAGTGCCTTCTGCTCCCTCTATTAGAGTAGCCACGTAACTCGTAAAGGACTCCGTTATTATTATTATTAAGCAATCGGACGTTCACTCAAAGGTACAGCGAGTTGCAGAACACAATGTCTCGTTTGATCATCTCCCCTGCTTTCTCGAACTTTGCCATCAACTCGAAATTCCCAATTGCTTTCGTGGCACTTGCAATTTGTCGAATCAACTCCTCTAAACGTCTGAGAGTGCGAATTGTTGTTCCTTCGAAGGAGCCCGTGAGCTTCTGAACCTCCCCGAACTTTGCACCTTTCGTCCAGGCGTACACTGCTTCCATCATTCCAGGATTGAATGCCTGCACGAACTCATCAGCATCGGTCTCAATGCCGCATGCACTTTGCGCAAGTGCAATGGTTTTGGCCACTTCCCTGAGCTTTTGGAACGGCTTCAGAAGAAATGGCTTGAGTCCGCTCGAACCATCGTCTTCCTTTGCGCGTTCGTCGAAGATCATGCAAGAAAGGAGTGTCGCAATCTGCTCCGGACTAAGGTCATTGAAGACTCCAGTGAAGATCATTTCCACAACTACCAGTTCGTTTGACGTATTTATCTAGAGCAAGCGATGAGAACGACTACGGTAGCATTCCAATGCACGTTGAAAATCATGAGCAAACGCAAGATCTTACCTCACAAGCACATCGACCCTTCGTTTGGATCACGCCGTTTACGTCGACGTGCCCCAAACGCTTGAGCACTCTTTTCATCTTCTTCAGGTCATCCTTCATGTCTATCACTTGACATGCCCGAGCTTCCTCTCGCAGAACATTTGCTTGCTCTTCGAGATCCATCTTCGTCTCGCAAGCTGTCAACAGTTCTTCGCGCTTGCTTTCGCTGAAATCGGTTGCCAGCTTGTGCTCCGACAGCCGGTCGCAAAGTGCTTGAGCTCGATTGAGCAGCGTTTGCAGGGCAGCGTCGGTGACACCCATATCTTTCACTGGGTCCAAAAGGGGAATGGTGTTATTGGGGAAACGCTTCTGGAGTTCTCGAAGAGATAGCTCCACCTTCTTCCTCCCCGCAGAGGTCGCGACCTCTTGAGGCATGATGATCCGAACAGCCGATATCTTTTCTACGTTGACGTGTCCGATCATAAATTCGCGCATTTCGATGATTTTGTTGTCGTCTGTCCCGATTCTTCCGGGACGATATCTGGTCTCACTTTCGTTCTCCTTTTCGTCTCCTTCTTCTTCCGCCGACTGCCTAGCACACATCAGCAAGACGCGAAGTGTGAACGAAGGGTCTGACTCTTTTCCAGTGTCTGCCCCTGGGTTGTTCTGAAATGACACGAGAGCTCCCCATCCAAAAGACTCTCCGTCAATGACGACCTCCAGGATTCTCCCAGGTTGTTGCAAGAATTTCCAAATATACTGCGGCTTGTGCACAATGCCTTTGATCTTTTTCCTTGTTACCAGTAGCTGTTGATCCATCTGGTGAAACTCCAGTGCCAGTTGGGCTTCCTCCGGCTCCCCTACAGAGACCTGACTCGCTTCTTTCTCCAGTTCCTCGGCTCGTAACACCAGCGCAGGGGCATCCTGCTCTCTCTGGAATTGATAGAACGAGGCTCTCAACATATACTCCGGATCAACGTCTTCGACGCGCATCAAATTCAACAGCTGATAAAGCATACCAATAGTTAGATTGAATCATTCGTGTGAACTTGCAATAGTTGATACTGTACATACCATATTGTAGGAGATTTTGTATGATGAGTTGAGGGTCTCAGTCTGCCCATACAACATATCTGAAGGGACAGGTCAGTGGACAACGAAGGGTCAAGAGACGTGAGAGCGATTCAAAGAGAATCTAAACGCCGGTGCTGGGCATATCTCACCTTTACAAGCTGTGGGCTCCATCTTCTCATCCACCATTTGGATCACGATACCCTTCAAGTCCTTTCCTCTTCGTCCAGCTCTTCCCGACATTTGTGTGTACTGAGAAAGAACAACGAGATTAAATTAAATGACAGGAGCTTCGATGTGAGTTTTTGAGATCGAAGCGACATGCAAGGACAGAAAGTGAACTCACCTCTCCGGTGGTGACATATCTAAAGTCCTTCCCATCCCACTTCCTCGTGTTGGTGAACACAACAGTCTTGGCTGGCATATTGATCCCAATGGAGAAAGTTTCCGTCGCAAAGAGTACTTTGACAAGAGATTCAGAAAAGAGGATTTCGGTAACCTCCTTGAGAATGGGGAGCAACCCACCATGATGGATCCCAATGCCTCGCTTCAACAGGGGGAGCAATGCCTCGACCTGCGGGAGTTTGCGATCGTCTTCACTCAAGGAGCCAATTGCGTTTGTGTAGACTTGCGTTACGAGGTCTTTTTCCACATCGTCTGTAAAGTCTTCCTTGTTCAATGCCAAGGCGTACCTTTCGCAGTCTTTTTTTGAGAATGAAAAGACAATCACGGGGCTAAGGTTTCGGCTCATAATGAGACTCACAATCCGTTTCAGGTCAGCGAATTGTCCGCCAGCTTTTTTCCCATTGCTACTGCCACGTTTCCGCTTTCTGCCATTCCCAGAGGCAGCCACTGCATCGACAGCAGCGGTTGTGACATCTGTTGATTGGAGCGTTGCCATGGCTCGTTGGAAGTTTGATTCTCGAAACTTGCCTCGTTCGTCGACCACCAGGTGGAGCCCATCTCCGCCTTCAGGAAAAACAAAATGCTGCAGTGGTGTTGGCCTGTAGTTGGTGTAGACAACGTGACAAGGCTGGTGATGGATGGCTGCAATCCAATCTGCAAACTGTGAAGCATTGGGGATTGTCGCACTCAAAAATACAAATCGAACAAAATGCGGCAAAAGAACGATGGATTCTTCCCACACGACACCACGCTCCGAATCACGAAGGTAATGAACTTCATCGTAGATAACCCAGGCAACCTCCCTCATCAGCTCAGATCCCTACAATAGAATTGTTGAGGCACAAAGGCAAAGAGTACCATGTAGATTGTAGCAAATAAAGGGGCGAGTTGAAGAACCAAGCAATGTAAGAAGAGATGTTTGAACAGTGCAGGACAGACAGTGTGGATTGTTCTTCACCTACCCGATACAGCATGGATCGAAGGATTTCTGTAGTCATGACCAGAGCCGTAGCCGATGGGTTGATTGTGATATCTCCAGTCATTAGTCCAACATCCCCAAATTCCTCCTGGAGGTCTCTGAATTTCTGGTTGCTGAGAGCCTACCGTTTCAGTGAAAAAGTGGATTGACGGACGAAATAAATAAGTTGTTGAGTGGAATCGAATCATGAATACTTATTCAAGAGGAGCAGCTTCAAATCACTATAAACCCACCTTGATGGGAGACGTATAGACAACTCTCTGACCCGCCTTGAGCGACTTGGCAATGGCATATTCAGCCATGACGGTCTTTCCTGCACATGTCATGAAGCGCATTGGAAAGTAAGTGAACAAACAGTGTTATGAAATGAAATGAAATGAAATGATACGGTACCATCGTCGCAATGACCACGAGAGAGAGAGCCTTACCAGCAGAAGTGTGAGCAGCCACCAAAACCGATTCATTTCTCTTGATATATTCAATGGCCTGTTTTTGGAAAGGATCCAATTCAAAAGGATAAGTTCTCGCAGGTTTCTCGTCAGGCGGCACATTTTGTTTTCCTTTCAAGGAGGAGGCATTCTTGGGATAAGCAGAATAGGATCTGACAGACTTGTCGTGTGAAGTTCCCGTGGAAATTTCTCCCTTTTTGAGCAGCCCTGATTTGTCCTCCACAGGCTTCTTTGGTTCGTGTGCGTGCTTTGCCTTTGCGTCATCGGTGGCATGGCTAGACGAAAATCCCTTGGACATGACAGATGTAAAGAGGGAGGCTGTACTTTTTCCAGGAGAATCTTTTTTCGTTTCATCCGTATCTTCCATCACAGTGTCCTTTGCCGCATCGTTCGCCGTTGATGACGCAACGCCACTACTCTCCGATTTCTTTTCTTCACTTTCCTTGCCGCCATTGTCATTCGACGACACTTCCTCGCCGTCAAAGGCACCAAACAAGTCGTCCAAAGCACTCATACTGGTAGTCTCAAGTCTAAATGCAGGCACTCTTGCGACGCTTGACAGAAAGATTGGTAATTGATCTCGAGATGATTGCTTTCCAGTACGGAGAAGTAGAAAAATGGAAAAATGAGTGGTGACGGCTTTGGGAATTAAGGGAAGGGCGGAGCGAACGGAGCGAGAAACGAATGAATCGAATGATTCGATCGAATCGAATCGAATCCCGTTTGTCCCTCGTTGCCTCGGGGAGGCTGGAGGTGGACCAGCGATAGTCTAGTTTCTGGTTTCGGAACTGAGGTAGGCCATACAGTAGAGTTGACCCAGGTGTTGGTCCTGGAGTTGGTCCGGGACCTGGAGGTGGAACAGGAGCAAGCTTGTACGTCCAGGAGGAGAAGAACCTGAAGTTTTGTCGATGTTTGGAACTAGGAGTACGGCCAGAGTTGGGTTCAGCAGTACCATACGTATTATTCCTGGAGTTGGTTCGGGAGCGTGGCAAATGCAGGTGGGAGTCAGACATCACAGCTATGTCATACATGCACACGAACCAGAAAATCCTCTACCCGTATGCGTGAGCGTTGGACAGAGGAATGCTTCAACAGGAAGCCCTTCATTAGTGGCGGCTACTATGTTAGGCAGGCAGGAAGGGGAGGAAGCAAAAGAACACTGGTATGGCTACTCTACAGACATCAGATCTTGTGACAACCTGGGATGGCAGCGCAGTAACTGTCGTGTACATGTACTGCTTTGCGTGGACCCAAGGGCAATTGTTTCCCAGAGACATGCTGATATGGCATGCTTAATTGATCCAGTTGTGCTCGAGCACCTATCACTCCACATCATCCAGACTGATAGTGAAGTGCTTGAACAAGCCTTTTGCCTCGACAGCAGGATGAGACAAGGTCCAACCACTGGCACTTCCTCTCAGCATCCAGCCTCCCGGTAGCATATCAAAACAAATACTCAACTACAACTACATGTATATCAACTCCAAGGGTAATACAATCGAATGCAATGAAACAACCGAGCCTTTAATGACTAAATTTCTAGTAGTTTACTCGTCATCCTCTTCGGCAGCACTGATAACAGTTCCAGCAATACGATCCAAATCTTGTTGTCCAACGACGGTAACACGGCGTCCTCCGTTGGGAAGCTTTTCAACGACCTTCATACCTTCTAGCTGCAGCAATACCGATCGGATGACACCAGAAGACGCCTTTCGGAAGTGCTCGGTTCGGGCCCCACGACGGTAAGTGCCTCCGTACCACTTTTGAAGTTGACCAACTCCCAAGCCCGGTCGGAGGTAGATTTTCCTTGCAATGGACGCCGCTCGGATGTAGTACCAGTCGTCGCCATAGGGAGCCAATTCCTTGAAGACGGCGGTCTTTACAGTGTCAGACCACACGGGCAAATCGAATTTGTCCGAGTTCTTCAAGTGCTCAGCATACGCCTCGATAAAAGCGGGTGCCTTGACATCCCTCACACAAATACCACGAGCTTCTTCCGCCATCTTTTCAATTGATTGCTTGTATTCGGGAGATATTGAAAAAGCAGTAACAAACTGGAGACAGAGGCAAGCGCAGCAAATCCAACCAAAAGATGAACTTGACGATGGGGCGCTGCTTGATCACCGCAATAGTCAGCGTCGATCGCCTCCAACCATCAGAGCGAACGTGAAAATAGTAAGCGGTAAGATTATCCACGTACGAAGGACGGTTGAGTCGAGCTTGTCGGCTGATCAATCGACAATTCAAATCAAACCGAATATATATCGAATTGTTTTTTGAAATCCATTGAAAACCCTATCCCCATTGACGGAACAAAAGATCAAGTGAGCTTCCGACTCTTTCTAACGTCAATACTGGTACCAGCGATGAACCGCTCGCTGATCTAATAGTAACTTCCGTTGAAGGCCGTCATTGCTCTCCTTGTTAGGAACCAACAGTGTGGTTTTGTCGTGTAGTAGGAAACTTCCTTTATCGCCTTGCCTCGCAGGCCACTTTTCTGGTTTCATCACTCAATCGGTTCCGTCTTCCAAGCCAAAGGAGCAAGGGCCACCACAAAGATAGGAGAGAACAACAACAATGTATGGGAGGCACTCGGTAGAGCTTTCCGCGAGAGTTGCTTTCCTGTGGGCTTTAGCTACGCCCGTTCTAGCAGGGCAATGGTGGCAAAACTCCGGTGAGGGCGACTATGACACGCTCAAGTATGGAAGTTCCATGGACCGAGATTGGCTCTACAGCGCTTCCTCAATCTCCATGAAACTGGAAGGATGCATTCTCGGCTACAACACAGCTGATAGCGAAGATGCTGGATGCCCAGAGAACGAGAGTGAAGATGGAACTATATATTGGTACCAAATGGCAAATTGTCTCAGACCGCAAGCTGTCTTTTCGCTGTATGCATCAGACTCCAGTAGTACCAGCTGTTCCTCCAGCACATTCAAGGAGTCGGTAAGTTAACTGGCTGAGTTGCCTGTGGCTGTTATGTTAATCGGGGCGAATTTTGGTGCATGCTCAAGGTATACCCTCTCTCCTCTTTGTTTGTAGTTTGTGACGACCTTTGGCTTTGGTGAATTCATATATTACCTCGCCAAATATGACGAAAACAGCCCTTTCAACAATCAAAACGACGACTACTACGGTGGAGATGACTACTTTAGCCAAAATGGAGGTTTTAATGTGGAGAACATGCCCGTTTGCGAAGAGGATGGTTCTGGCTACTACATTGGAATGGGATGCAGCGAATATGGGGACTTTGTCTTGAAACAATACACCGATGAAAACTGTTTCCAACCTCTCAGTGATTCTGACTACGAGTCACTCAGCAACATCAACTCACTTCTGAAGAATTACAAAGACTGTACGGCTGCTTACACCTATGGCAACGACCAGGACGATTCATTGGCCCACAAACTAGTATATTACTCCGATAGCTGCTCTTCGATCGACAACTCTCTCTGCCAAAACGACGATGCCATGTCTTCCATGCTCAGTTCATCCAAGACCCAATCATCCTCCAAAGCAAAGGCTCAAGCTGGATCCAAATCTTGGGTCACCAAACTCAAGTATGTTGCAGGCGGTATGCTCCTGGTGGCTTCCTTTGTGATGTTCACTGGTATCCTCTTCACCAATAGACGCCGAAGAAGGGCGCTCATGCAACGTAAGTATAGACAGTCCAAGAAAGGCCGATCAAGCCGAAGCAAGAGCCGAGGCCATGACGGGGAATCAAAACGTTCTTCAGCGCGATCGAAGTCACGAACAAAGAGGGATTCTGACAAAGATCGCGGCGATTCAGAACCAAGCGGGGTTTTCACTTAAATTACCACGCTCTTGTCGCCGCTGTGGCTACGACAATGATCCCTTGAGTGGTGCCATGGAGGAAGTGACACGACAGCAAGGGCGTTGCTGCTTTTTTTGTTTCACGGGCATGTGCTTTAAACTTAGTGTATGTTTCTCTCCCAAGTTCCTATTATTAGCATCCACATCTTCATGTACATTCACATCATTCTATTTTGTATGAGTATTTTTATTACTTTTGCCTATTGTACCCACCCTTTCCCCTTTAGAAACTCCTACGTAGCGTAGCCAACAACAAACTGTAGCTAGCTACCGGTACCGGTACTGGTAGTAGTGATGCAGAGGAACAGAAGTCGGTGGCGATCGTTAGCGATGACACTGGCACCGGACACGGTACTACCAGAGAGCTAGTAGTTCCGAGAATGCTTGCACGTAGCAAAGGAACCTCGAAGAGCGTTTTTAAATCTACCGGTGGTACCGTGCAACCTTAACCTTTCCAGCTTGGAACATCATACAGCAAGGCACTGTACCCTTTGCATTGCAGAGTGAGTCGCACTAAGGTTGCTGGACAGTCATCCTCCCTCGGGGCGTACCTTTAGATCTGATCATTTACCTTGCAGTTGGCCAACGAACACGATCAAAGACTGAGGACTCCTGTATTGGAAAAGCTATCGAAGCCCGGACCTGGTGGCGTTGCTGCCTTCATCTGATCCTGGAGCAAGGAGAGAGGGAGCAGAGTGAATAAAGCCTATGCTGAGTAGTTCGTACCGGTACCTTCCACTTCTAAAAATCAGAGATGATACCGTACTAGTAGCAGAACTGTCTCAAGCTTCTACTTACTATTTAGCTCCTCTTGCCAGCTATCGGTAGCTAGCAGCTACATCGTAATCAAAACGGGATCGGCTTGGCCAAGCTAGATATCCAATTGTTGTCCCGAACTAGTACAGTAGTTTCTTCATTGGCAGACGGAAGTATCGATAGAGTAGGTAGAGGAGTACTAGAGTGTACATACAGGGTGATGTACCGGCACCTGTGTAGAATGCAAGAGTTCATTCAAAAAGGATTGCCTATGTCTTTGAGCGAGCCCGTGAGCCGGTGAGAGAACAGTGGAACAGATCCGAGATCGTAGTGTCCGGACTCACCACTGGACCACTGGACAAAGAAGTCACATGCCAACAAACTCACTCTGAACACCACTTTGTGGCCATGACAAGAGGATCGAAAAAGAGGCGACAGCCAACAGCTCTGGGTGGTTTGCCTTGAAGTCAGTGCCTACTTGGGTAGGGGCAAGGCTCTTGGCAACAACATACTCAGAGCAACAACTGTCGTCCTTTCGACGCTCCTCCTTCCTCTACCGACGCTCCTTCCACTACCGACGACATTGTCTCTATTGATGCTCCTCCAAGGACGCAAGTTGCTTCTGTGTTTAATCCACCGTCTACCTACACCGATCCCTTGCCACCACAAAAAATGTCGCCGCCTTCGGGCTACGCCGGAGGCTATGCCATTTTTTCCCTCGACGCAATCATTTCAATTTAAATTGTAGTAGCCAACTCGTTGTTGTCGGCCTAGTGGCTTCGGTAGTTGTGTTGTTGATGGCAAAATTCGCTTGGGCCTTCTTCGTCGAACCGTAGTCGTAGTTTCCAGCCGTCGCTTGTTGTTGTTGTTGTTGCATTGGCCGTAGAGGTGTCATCGGTTGCTCGGTGGAAGAGGAGGCGCCGTGGAAGTTTCATCGATTGATCGTCCAGTCAACAACAGGAGCCTGTCATGGTGGAGCCTTCGTCAAGAGGAGTAGCCGCTGTAAAGAAGAGGAGATAGCATCATCTTGATAGAGTAAAGATAGAGTAAAGGAATCGAAATAATGAACTGGAAGAGGAGGAGTGGCTTTCATGTTTATCAGTCGGTGGCCGTCCCTTGTTCTCTCTTTTAACCTATCATGTGTGTTGTCAACTTGGTTCGTGGGATTGAATCAACAAAGGCCACATCCACAGCGGCAACACCAATTTTCCAAATTCTGATACAATACCTATGGCTAGTTGTTGCACGAGAAGATGGAAAATTGGATTTGTTGCTCATCTACTGGTTGTTGTCTATCGGAAGGTTAAGAGAGGGTAAACAGTCAACCTCTCCGACTCGACGACGCACGAAACAAGGTGTCGATCAGTCAGTCAGTTTCAGCCATAAATTCAGCCAACGCAACAGCGAAAGCTATGCTCTTTTCTCTCCTCTCCACCCCTCGACAATGGCCGAAACACTCCACATTGACGGCTCATCTTGCGTTTCTTCTTGTTGGCTCACTGCACTGGCGTTTCGTTCAGAACGAATTTCTGAATCCTTGAATCGAATCGAATCGTGTTCACACAGGAATGAGGGCTCTCGGAGACTTATTCAGGAAACAGTAGTAAACATCAAAAGCAATAACGAACCACCACTCATTACTTAGTGCCCACCACTGCCAACATTCGGAAGTATCACCATTCCCACCCCCCAAACAGACTACAAGGACAACATCAACAACATTGTCGTCGCATATGGTGAAAACCCATCAACCACAATCAACAACATTGTTAATACGTCTGCTACTACTATTACTACTGTTACTACAGCTCGTTGGCGGCGTTGTGGTCGTCGGTTGGCCCATCGCAACTCGCGATTTCTTGTTGTTTGTTGTTGGTTTGTTTCGATTCCCCCTCTTTCCCCTCTTTGTTACTAGGCCGCTGCGCGGCCCCCTCCTCCTCTCCCCGCGACGATACTTCGCGCTTCGCGCGATACTAGGGTGTTTCTTTTCCTCCAAAGCGAGGAAATTGTGACGTCTCGGAATGCTTTTGGAGCGTAAAACCGATGCTCGGCAGCCTTTTAACGGCCAGAAAGTTGACCTTCGCGCCTTCTTCAAAAAAAAGTCGAGTCACGAGTTGAGAGACAGTCTCGTTTACGTTTCAGCTTCCCCATCAAAGCACGAAGCACACGAGGCAACAACAACAACAAAAACAGCCACCATGGCGGCTGCTACTGTGAGCGACTCTCTGAGAGCGCTACTCGACAGTGCCCGCAATAACAGCCGTCTAGATGAGAGTAGTGATGAGGAAGATCTGCAACTGGAGGATCAGCAGGCATTGCTGTGCACTGACCTCCTAAAAAGCCTCGGAAAACTTTGCAAGAGCAATCAAAAGGGCACCAATGACGAGGCTGCTGGAACAGACAACAATTCGGGCAACTTTATTCACACCTCTATCAACTACAACAATAAGCAAAACAGTGGCGTACACAGAGCCAAGTATGCTCCCTTTTCCACTACAAATGTTCGAGAAGTGTTTTCAGACTACAATGCGTCACTTTCGCGGCTGGCCCCTTTGCTGTCATCCCTCATGATGACACGTGTAGAGACCGAGAAGCTCCTCCCCGCAACTCAAGATGAAGAGGCCAATGAGGCAGCCATGAGCTCTTCCTCGGCCCTGACTCTTACACGCCCAGCCCTCACTGCAGCCAGAGTCTACGCCACACTGCTGGCCATCCCTGGTGCATTGGGGAGTGGGCTGATTGAAATGGAGACTGTCTCCAGTATGGCAGCTTTGTGCAAGCGATGGAGGGTGGAATGTGTGACAGCCATGACTCAAATTGTTGGCGGCGACAAACAAAAGAAAAAGTCAGGCAAACGGGCATCAGGTGCAGGCGCCAAGAAACGTAGAGCGTCAAAGAGTACAACCACCAACCCCATCAAGCGCGGAAAGCAAGGCAAGCGGGTCCAAATTGTTGAGGGCTTTGTGAGTTCATCCGACGAAAGCGATGATGATGGCTCTTTGGACGAGAAAAATTTTGGGAAAGATCAGAGTTTTCAAATTGATTTCGAAGATCAGAATGACATTATTTCTGCCATTGATCTACTTGTCCTTGGAATGCAGACAGGTCTCGCATTGAGCCAAGTGCTGTGGCAAAAGGAATTTTTGAGTTGGTCGTCCGAAGCCCGGGAAGCTGTAGTCGACGCCGTAACCTCGATTCATGGTACCGTTGCGGCACTGACATCGTCACAAGCGGCACGAACAGCGCTGCCAAACAATGTGCTTGAGTTGCAGAAAAAAGTGGTCAGGAGCACCTCCCTTTGTCTTCAGCAATGTATTCTCACAGCCAACAGTTCGGCTGACGACGACTGGGAAAACGATGAGGCCGAAGACATTGGAGGCCCTGCCGCAAAACGCCACGAGACCTCGGTCTTTGTCTTTCGTGGTCTCTTCCCAGTGCTGGCCATGCAAGAGCATCTCCCAAATGGAGATTCTGGAAAACAGGCTGCTTGCGACATTGCCAAAGACACACTCCAAGGCTTTGTGAAAGAAGTCGCTTCCGATGTAATGACGAAACGAAGTGATTGGGCTGCAGAGAAGAACGATGAATCGACTGCTCGTCGAGATAGAGAGCCTCGTCGCACGAGGAGCAGGAGCCTTGGCCGAGATGTGACTTCAACACCAGTCACCACAGCAAAAAAGGCGCGCCGAAAGCGGGTCTCATTCGGAGCGCTAGACAATTCAAGACGCACACCCGTGTTGAAGACTACAGGCAAACTAAAACGGCGGCGATCGTCAGGAGTTACCCCGCAAAGCCCAGGTGGGCATCATGCGAAACCCCGTCCAGTACTGAGTGCAGTCCTGGGCCTTATGCAGAAACTTGCCACCTCGAAGGGCCTGGAGAAGGCGGGGTTTCGAAGGACCGTCGCCGGTACCCTCGAAAGTTGTCTTCCACATCTTCCGTCGCTAGAGCGAACGTACTTTTTACGCTTTATGAGTCGGCTTTGTTCTTCAAAGGTTTCTGTTCACCGTCTCATGGTGACAGAGCTGCTGGGTGTGGTATTGGCCGAGCCTTGGCTTTGGAGCAAGCACGCAAATGCACCAATGCTCTCGCCTGTTTCTCCATTGCAAAACTCACGATCGCCTTCAGAGTCACCCGAGAGCCATGCCAGATCAATACATGATCAAATGATTCCAGATGCTTTACTCGAAGCACTTTTGGGCAGACTCAGCGACAAAGTCCCAACAGTTCGTGTGTCAGCAGCTAGCTCCCTGGCCAAACTCTTTAGCAGAGCCGCAGCGGCAGAAGATCAGAACGGAGAAAACGATCGGGAACTACGTGCAATGATTGTCCAAGTCAGCAAAGCTCTGGCGTCCAAGCGAGACTACGCCGTGGATTGCCTCAAACACAGAGCACTAAATGATGAAAAGGCCTCTGTTAGAAAGACATCAATAAATGCATTGGCGGATTTCATTTTTCTGGGGACCATTGACGATTCCTTTCCAATCGAAGAAGACGACGTGGCTGCTTTCGATCACCTCTGCCGCGACAAATCAACGGGGTCTCGGAAGGCAGCGGCGCAGGGTTTGACAACCATTCTTCAGCAATGCACTCAGGCAGCGGGGGAAGGAAGTGCTGACAAATTGGAGTCCGTAGCACGTACCTGGACTGCTTCTGTATTGCCTTTGGCGCTGGACCAGGACAGTGGCTGCCAATCGAAAGCCATCGAGCTTGTGAATCAGGTTGTTTTCGATCCTATCATTGCCTTTGAGGATACCGGCAACATGAACGAACGTTGCGCCTGGAAGATATTGTCCATCGCTTGTGAAAGCTCTTCTTCGGCTTGCACGGCTACCAACGCACTCAAGGCCGCTCTAGGCAAACAGGCCATGAACAAATCATTGCTGCAGCGTCTGTGCGACATGGCAACCCAAACTATCGAAGGGCCGTTGGACGATGCCCTGTCTTCGGAACTGGAATCACAAAGAGCAGGAGTGTGGTATTTGCTCGACACACTTGTTGACGACATCAAGAATCTTCCAGCTCTTTACAAGACTCTGAAGCAGCTCCGCATTGATTTGGATTTCCTGGGCAACTGGGAAAAGATCTTAGACGTACTTGAGACGAAGGCGGACCTGCCGGAAACTTCACACAAGTTGTTGCATTCTTGTTTGAGATTCTGCCTACGACTCCTGTCGAAGCTCGGGCGATGCGTTAGCCGTGAGATTATGCAGCGCTCTTCGGCCAAACTCCGTGCTTTGTTGGAGAACTTCTCACTGCCTTCCGACTTGATTGCACCGGGAATTGCGGCCTTGACAGCGACTACCATCTCGTGCCACGAGGAAATGGACGCAGCGCAAGTGCAAAGGAACTGTGAAGATACCGCTTCGTCTTTGTATCAACTTTGCGAGGACTCCATTTCTGCCTACGCGCGAGATCTCCACGAGACTGGACGTTCCTCTAATGCGGAAGACGTCGACGAGCTCAACGTTCGAGCCATCTTCACCACTGGTGAATTGGCGACTATTGGGTTCAGTCCCGACGAAAGTGATGCAAAAGAAAAAGGAGCGTCTACAGGCGATGATCCACTGAGAGGCTTTTACACCCCGCCAAGCAGAAAGCTCGTAGACATCATATGCACCTTCCTTCCAAAGCAGTTTCTTTCGACGAGTAAGTCTGTTCAGAGCCCCGAAATTCGAGCTCACGCATTCATCTGTGTCGGCAAAATTTGTCTTCGCGATGAATCCTTGGCCAAGCAATGTGTGTCAATCATGGCTCGTGAAATCACCGAAGATGCGGAGAATGAGTGTTACAGTGCAAAAAGCAACGCCTTGTTGGTTCTCGGGGACCTGTGCATAAGGTATACGTCTCTTGTTGATAAGTATTTGCCTGCAATGGCATGCTGCTTGCAGGCAGGAGTCAATGCAAGCAATACCATCACAGTGACAAGCGATGATAAGTCAGCTGTCGTCAGAAAGAATGCCGTGATCCTACTCAGCAGCCTTCTTTTGCAGGTAAGATATATATCCGTCACACTCCCCAGTCGAGATGCTGGACCCTCAAACAAAGCCTTCCCCCCGCCACAGGACTACATCAAGTTTCGAGGCCTTCTCTTCTTCCGTCTCCTGGTTGCCTGTGTGGACAACGACGAGTCATGTGCTGAGATCGCGGAAGAGATGCTCCTTGGCCCCTTGCTGGAGAAAAACCAAAAGCTCTTCATGAATTCGTTTGTCGAATCCTTGTTTGTGCTCAATGGCTGCCCCCATCCCATCTATGCGGCAGCCAATCAATCGAATGGTTCGGCATCAGTGGACTTATCAGGAATCGACCTTAGTGGTCCAACCGGGAGAGCGAAGAGGTTTCGCATGTACGAGTTGATGCTTTCGAAAATGACAGGTAAGTGACGGAAACAACGTCAACGTCATCATAATCACAACATGGCGCTTACCTGTCACTTGTTCCTGATTCCCAGGGGAAGATAAGATCGCTGTAACGGCTCGTATTGCTAAGGACGTCCTTGAAGGCGCATTGAGTAGCGGCATTTTACACGCAGTTTGCAGCAACCAAAAGACCGACAATGACCACGAGAATGCCTACAACGTCCTGTCGGATGCTTTTGCTGTCCTGTCCAGCCCAATGCTAAAAGTTTGCAGGGGCTCCAGTTCGGCAGATGAGGATCAAGAAGATATCGCGGATCCAAACATTCCCAATCCAACACGGCGGGTGAATGCAATTGCCAAGGGCAAACTGCTGTCCAAGATCAGTCTCAAGCATTTGATTGAGATCGTCTTTCCTATTCTGCGGAACCTAAAGGCGCTGTTGCAAAAGAGCCAATCCCCCCTCTTGAAAGACTTGATGCAGTACATGGTGCATATTTACAAAACGTACAAAGCTGAGGCAAAGGACTTTCTTTCTGGTGACCCTACTTTGCTCCAGGAGATCGAGTTTGACGCCAGGAAGAAATCCCAAAGTAGTACCAGTGCTTCCTAAACAGGAAGTCGAGCACAAGCAGCAGTGGTTGGATGCGTTGGTCGATTCAGTGCTCTACGCATATTATAGTGTTTGTTACCGGTACCCCATAAAACCTATAAGTTTGAGCGTGTGTTCTCTCTCTCTACTTGCCTTTGAAAAATATAAGCCATTACGAACAGCACATCATTTAGCTCTGTGGATGGACGCCTGGCATATCCTCTTAAGGGTACCTTACCGGTCTAGCTACGGTATAGAAGATCGGTAAGGTTCGAAGTTGTCGGTGGTTCTCCATCGCCAGTGCGTGCGTCTTCTACGGCGCCGTCGTCAATTGTTGTTTTGCCCAAGTTCCTTCGCTTCCTCCTCGGTGAGATGGCGGAATGCTGTTACAAACAAGTAATCCTGTTGACGGTGGAGAAACTTGACCAATTCAAAGACGTTCTGCAAGACAACTTTTGCATTCTCGTCACTCATGCACTCTGCCAAGATATCTGGGAGTATCAACAGTAGCCTCAGCAGATGCTCCACCCCATAGAAGTCCACCAAAGCGGGTGAGGTGTCCTGATCCCCACTCTTGACGGAAGCCAACTGTGCATTCAACTGGGGTATTTCCTGAGGATAGAGCAGTCGAGTACGGACGGATTTCTCAAAGAACATGGCAATTCCATCTGCAAGGTTTTTCCACCCCGCCCGTCGCTTCATAAGTTTGTCTTGGTCTTCGGCATCATGCCTTAGGTTCCTAAAGCTGTGTGTAGCCTGATATCCCTTCGCGTCTACATACATGCCCAATACTTTTCTCACAGACATACAAGAGGGTAGATCATACACCAAGTGCTTTTGGCTCATAGATTCCCATGTGTTAATGAGGATCTTCTTCAAAGAGATCGGGAGTTTGATCTTGTTCGACGATGTCGAGCTATTTGCAGGTTCCTCCTCCGGCTCGTCCGTGTCGGTTCTACGAATGTTGTTCGCTGTCTGTGGCACTGAAACCTTGGCAGCTGGAGGTTTTGTCACGGGGTTGTCTTGAGCATTCTGGTGATTGGCGTATTCGTCTAGCTCCTCAGCGAAAGTGTCATCGCAGGTGGATTCGTCAGAGCCATAAACTTTTTCCTGCGTCCCAGCGGTGGTTGCTTCCCTGAGGAGTGCCGAACATTCGGATGCTTCACTGTTTCGTCTTTTCACCTTTACCACCCGATCGCCATTGTTTTAAGTATCATTTTTCAAAAATGACAAAAGCTTAGAAGGGGGAAAGATGCAATCATCGTGCAAGAAAATAAGAGTCCAACTAAGTTTGCACTGACCTTGCGCTTTTTTGTTCCAAGCTTCGACGCTTTCTCTTTCGGCCGCTTGGGCGATGTCCTACTGGCCAGTTTCTTCAAATTCTCTTTCTTGCTGTTCATATGAAATCCATGCAGTTGATACACGCCATTCGGTTTTTTGAAGCCGTGTGCATACATCAGCCTCTGTTTGATCAATTTGAGCGAATACGGTAGGGAACAAGTGAGAGAGTGACTTTGGTTCTCCTAAAAACTGAATAAGCAAGATCATCCTTACCTCCAGGGAAGTCCACGGGCGCTGGAACCATTTCCTGGCGATAATGTTCAAATTGGGGTCCTTCTTTTCGACAGTGAAACCTTGCCCTTTCAAAGCCCACCTAAGAGGGCTTGCATAGCCACGCTTTGACTCTACGGAGATCATCGCATGCACCATCTCCACGAAAGTGGCATCGGTCGACTGGGCTGATGTGCTTGTCATCGTGGATCTTTGATGGTCGAGGGAAAATGCTACCGTAAAATGCTGTTGTGGACGAGGCGGGAGTTCACTACTAGCTAGTAGAAATAAATTTAATTTATTGCTCTAACTATAGAGCGGCTTACGTACCGGTATTAGCTAGTATTGAAATTCAGGCCATGAGGGTGTTGTGCAAGCATCAGGAAAGGGTCACAGGATGCCGCAGCGTTGGGCTACTGTACTCGTAGATCATAACATGCGGAGATAACGTACAATGACGACGTAGCCAAGTACATACTGCTCTTCCTGTGTCCTCCATCTATGAGGTCGTAAGGCCCAATGCAAATGACTACCTACCCGAGTTTCCAAGACATACCGGGACAGTACCGATGCAACAGCCAGCTACCGTGCCTGCAGCGCAATAACTATGTACCCGATACGAGCTGAGGGAAACTCTTTGGTTTTCAGTCAGTGGAAGGTGAAAGGTGAAAGATCATAAGGAAAGATGTAAAGTGTGTTATGTTTAGAATGCCTCGTTTAGCAAGGGAGGCCGGCACAGAGGAAGTGCATTGTAATCCCCAAGACAAATCAATTTTGCGCTGTTCTTTCAGCGCGACTTTTTCCACGGATAGGGCTCAAAATTCTATGCATGTTTTTTGACGTGATGATTCTGCTGTCGTACATAAGCCAACGTTTGCCCTGTGGTCGGGTCCAGTTGGTTCATGTCGTCAATTGGGTCTTTCTCGTGTTCGCTGTACGGTCTGTGAGACCCAAACAGCCAATCCCATAGCATGATATATTGTCCAAAGTTGACACTTGGAATTCGATGATGTAGATCGTGACACTTGGACTCGTAGAGGTTGATTCCTCCCACAAAGGGCACTTTGATATCATATCGCTGATGATTGAAACAGGAAGCCGCGTTGGTTGCAAACATGATGAGATTGCCACAAATGATGTGCATTTGCATGAAGCGGCACATCAAGAACATGGCAAATATGGCATTGTATTGGCCAAAGGCGTATTCCAGCGGGTGAACATTCAGGGCATCAATACTTCCACGGCTGGTTAATTAAAACGAAAGATGTTAGCAACCGGTTCCCGCAAACAGGCAATATTTTCTTGACTTTGCGTGAAACTCACCTCGGTGCTTGTTGGCGATGATGGTGTTTGTGGATGAGTGGATATATTGCCTTTTGGTGCAATGCCATGTGCCCCAAGGTGTAAAAGAAATCGTAGACAACAAAGAAGACTGGGAAGGGTGCTACAACATTCATCAATGACATGTCTTTTGTGTCCCAGAGGAAGTTGGGATCCCAGTTGATGTACATGAAGGCTACCATCACAAAGGGCCCATTCGATATCTTGTTCCAGAAGAGATAGACTTTGTCTTTCTGTAGAGCGAGACGTACAGGAAACCAAAACAGGTTCGTGTGTCAGAAAAATTGCAGTAGTTGCGTGGGTATATTATACATGTTCCATGGGAGCGTGAGGTCTTACCTGAGTCAGCACATCAAGATGTTTCCCTCTGACTGGCAAGTGCTTTGCATTGATCCACTCTGAAAGAAAGAAACAGGACAACCAACAATGAAAGGGCAAGTGAGACTTTTGTTGACTTGAATGAAACCAATAATAGAATAGATGACGAACCTCCAAGGTTGATTGCGACATAGTTGAACACCTCCAGTGTTATCGCCAGGATAAGAAAGTAGAGTACCTTGTCCAAGACAAGTAGAGCCGCTGGTCCGTGAAGAATCCGTGACTTTACTGCCTCGAAGGTATAGTACTCTCCGCCAGTTGTTGTTGAGTCAGTTGAGTTATCTTCTGCTCTAGTTTTCCCCATGACAAGGCAGAGTGTCGACAGCAGGACCATCCGTATGGACGGTCCAAAGTCTTCCAACAAGTCCAGTAAATTGCTGAGTCCTCTCCTCATGTTGTGAGACACCTTTGGTAACAAAGCCTAAAGCAGCAGCAGGGTGTTTTTATGATCACAGCGTTGATGCCGCCGTTTCGGTCTGTGGGACCACCACTTTGCCTCCCGATACCACCGTCTGCAGTTCGATTTCTCGACCTTTTGTAACTCCTCAACTGCCTCTTGTCCTTCTCAATTGCTCTGACAGCTCTTCGCGTTGTTCGTTCAATTCAATCTAACTGACTGACTCACTACAGGTCTCCTTGAAACTACAGCAGTTTACAGAAAGAGGAGAAATTCTTCGATTCGTTGCGCGTTGGCGATTTGTGATGATCCTGGCCGATGCAGGCTACATTTGGCACGTGTCATGGTAATTAGTTGCCGCCAGGCCACATGTTGGCGATTAGGATCGGAAGAATCCACCCAAAAAATGAGACCGGATCGCATCCATTCATGCTTGCGCACCGCGGGGATCATTCTGTTCGATTGACAACAACAACAACGAGAACGTCAACAGTCGACAGCAATGCTTTCACTTGCGACTTTTCCAGGAACTTTTGAATAATTAACCAGTAGACAGTACGATGAGTGATGGTGCTGACAATGAAGTCTTTGCAGGACCTTCTTGGGAAAGGCTAATGACACCAGAAAACATTCTAGGATTGGCAGCTTACTTTGCCATGCTCGGATTTGGCTTTGCTCTTGTCAAGCGATTAGCTGATGATGGAGATAGTGAGTAGACATGCATTGCGACATTGATTTATTTGATATGTTGCCCCCTCCGCAAGTCATTCCTAACTGGAACCATACCAATCCTTTAGACCAAATCTCGAAGAAAAAGTTGCCGGTTCGAGGGAAGCATCTCGATGATTTCAACAAAGTAAGTAAGGACCCTGGGGTGTGGGTTACGTAATATGGCTTGTCCTCAGGATGACTCATACATCCATTTGCTTGCTCTTACTGGCTTTTTACTGAAAAGTACGATGAGCTGTATCGAAGGATCAATAAGCTCCTTGCAGGGCCATTCCTCCTGTTGGGTATACACTGTGCATTTTATGATCCTAACATGTTATGGGAAGTGAACGACCTTTCACTAGTAAGTACTTGCACTCTTTTGGTGAACGAACTATTGTAGCTTTTGAAATGGGGGACACATTTCCTCACACACCCATGTGTCTTTGTGTCTGCCTTCTTCCTTCTGCCGATGCCCATTTCTCATGACAAATTGAAGAAAAGTGTGCTGTTTCCCATGCCTCTCTACTTTGTCATTTATGATTTCTTCTATGCCACAACACACATGACACTGCACTTGAAAGGGATCTATGCATATGTTCATAAGCATCATCACAGACAACAGGCCCCAAGGTATGTACACGCATCACCTTTCTATTCAGCATATTCTTTGCCCAGCCACCTTTCTCATACATTGTTCTTGTGTCCTCCATCAACATTAGCCGTGGCAGTGAAGACTCCATCAATGTGCATCCCATTGAGTTCTGCCTGGGTCACCTCAACAGTATCATTACTCTCTTCCTTGTTTGTCGAGTGATGCAGTTCCATATAGTTGGCTCCAACATCCTTCAACTCATCTATGCTGCAACATCCTGCTTTAATCATTCCCGTCATGATATTACTATCGCCATTGGAGGATTACAGCTCTGGACATCAAAGGATCATGATGTCCATCATCGCATTCCCAACAGGAATTATGGACGGGTCATTATGCTCTGGGATTGGATATTCGGTACATTCCGGTGAGTATCACTACATGTACAAGTTGCCATCCGTTTTGCTTGCTTGTTTGTGCTGAAGCCAGTTCTCATTCCCTATGTTCAACCACTTCCTGAACCTCCTGTCCTTTGCAGACCGTACGATGACAATGATCCTGTCAATCCCATTGCACAGCTGAACCCAGCAACGGGCAAGTCATACGAATATGAGAAGCTACAGCAAAAGAAACTAACATAAACTATCTATTGCATAAAAACTTGCTTGTCTTGTTTATTTGGTTGGTTGTACTTGAGGTCACTCTCAAGGTGCATAGTTAGTCGTTCTGAATACTATACATAGTCAGAATATCTGACAAGACATACATGTACATGAGCATCTGCAGACAGTGTCGGCGCTGGACTCGACTCAAGCTTCGAGGACCGAGGACAGGAAAGACCTCTTTGAAAGTAAATAGAAGCAAAACCAGCTTCGCCGGCTGAAATCTTTTGGCCTCTTTTATGCAGCGAATGCATGACAACAGACACAAACGCAGGTGCTAACTGACTACTAGGAGCCAGGAGAGATTGATATTGTTAGATAGGAAGAGAACAATAGAGGACGATGAGCTGGGCCGCTGCGAACGTCCCAAAGGGTGATAGCAAGGATGATCCTTCCAAAGTGAGCAGGATCCGAAAGCGAGGAGAAACCGTCGAAGCCGCCATGAGTCGTCTTTCCAAGGCGTATTCCACGGCGATGGAATGCATCGGCTCTATGCACTCGCTGAACACGGCCATGCTCAAGAACTCCAAAGGAGGCACAGAAGAAGAAAAACAAGGTAGTGATTATTCTCAGTCGCTGCGGAAAATGGCCAAGGCAGGTCGTGACATTCTGGAACAGGCCGTCCTGTTGGATCCTCTGGTAATGGCTCATGCTCCTGCTCTGCAAGTAACGATGCAGCAATATGCCGCAAGACAAAGCGAACAAACCAATCGCTGGGCGGCACTCCTCAAACCAAGGCCAGAACCTCCTCAGATATCCTCCAAGGCTCACCGAAGCACTATTCGACAGTTAACATATCTTTCACTGACCAATTATAGCGATCTCTTGGTGGCGGCTTGTACCCACCATTCGACCTCTTCTACAGGCCGCGATTTACTGGATACAGGTGTGGTGCAAAAAATCAAAGGTTTCACAAAAGATTCGACTTGTTGTTGGTCGGAAGACTCGGGAGAAGACGTCCAACGGTTGGCCTTGGTGGCGCTATGTGATGCGGCATCGTTGGATGGAACTGACCCAGTGGTTTGGTTGAAACTAGCTTGTGCCGCCCGGGCATTGTGGCATGGTATACAAGCCGATACCACTACTACTACTGGTGGTAGTACCGACAACCAACTTAATCCGTTCCGGAGACTGGAACGACATGCCCTGGAGAGCGGTTTCGTGGCACTGCCTCCACATACACCCCCCAATAGAGCTCTCACGTTGGCACTGGATGGTCTCAGAGCCGCTGATGATGAAGGACCGGACTCCTACCCGCCACAACTAGTCTCGACACCGCAAAAGCACACGTTGAACCTTGACCTGACACGATATTCCTGGTCCTTGTTGGGACGTGCGCTCATTCGGGCAGTCCGGGAGGGACAGGACGCCAATCACAACAACGACGAATCCATGACACAAACTCCCACACGACAACCGCATCAACACGTGGCTCAGTTTGGATCTCCTACAATATCCCTGGCTATATCGCCCATGTTACTTCTTCCTTCCTCTGTTCTAACCATGATATTTTCCTACTTGGAAAACAGTTCCATTTGGAGATTGGAGGCAACATGCAGGGCCTTATCGGTGTCGATCATGGCTTTTCGTGCCGTATTGGAAAAACAGCAAGGTGCAAAAAAGGATGAAGAGTCATCAGAGCCTCCAGCAGATCCCATGGACATGGAGGTTTCAACAACAGAGCAAGGACAGTCACAGGAACACCAATCAACAGAGCCCCCAGCAGATCCCATGGACATGGAGGTTTCAACAAGAGAGCAAGGACAGTCACAGGAACACCAATCAACAGAGCCCCCAGCAGATCCCATGGACATGGAGGTTTCAACAAGAGAGCAAGGACAGTCGCAGGAACACCAAACAACACCTGGGGAAGAACAACCACCACAACAGGAAGAACAACCAGGACAAGAAGAAAAGCAAGCAGAGCAGCAGGAAGAAAAGCAAGCAGGGCCTCAAGATGAAGAACCACAGCAGAATGATCACCAAGCAAAGCAACAGGATGAGCAACCACAGCAGAAGCAACAGGAAGCTAGACCTCAAGAGGATCAACCACTGCATAGCAAACAACACGAAAAACTGCAGGAAGAACAACCTAAGCAAGACGAACAGCAAACATTGCAGCAGGAGGGAGATTCACAGCAGCAGAAGGAGCAGAAAACAGAGCAGCAGAAGGAACAGCAAACAGAGCAGCTGGAAGAACAACCTAAGCAAGACGAACAGCAAACAGAGCAGCAGGAGGGAGATTCACAGCAGCAGCAGAAGGAAGAACAAGCAAAGCAGCAGAAGGAACAGCAGCAGCAGGAGGAACAGCAAAAAGAGCAGCTGGAAGAACAACCTAAGCAAGATGAACAGCAAACAGAGCAGCAGGAGGAAGATTCACAGCAGCAGGAGGAACAGCAAACAGAGCAGCTGGAAGAACAGCAGCAACTGGAAGAACAGCCAAAGCTGCAGGAGGAACAACCTAAGCAAAAGGAACAGCAAGCAAAACCTGTAGAAGAAAAAACACAGCAGATGGAACAGCAAGAGGGACAATCGCCTCAGAAGGAACAGCAAGCAAAATCAGATAAAGAACAGCCACAGCAAGCAAAACCTCCAGAGGAACAATCACAGCAGCAGACTGAACATCAAGTAGAGCGGCAAGAAGAACAAGGAAGGCAGCAAGAGGAACCGCAATCAAAACCTTCAGAAGAGCAATTGCTGCAGAAGGAACAGCAAGAGAGAGAAACACTGCAGAAGGAACAGCCAGCAAAACCTCTAGAAGAACCACCACAGCAGCAGAAGGAACAGCAAGAAGAAGCACAGGCAAAGCAGCAAGAACAACAACCACAGCAGGAGGAACAACCAGCAAAACCTCCAGAAGCAAAGCCACAGCAAGAGGAAGCACAACCACAGCAGCAAGAAGAACAACCAGCAAAACCTCCAGAAGCAAAACCACAGCAAGAACAACCACTGACAGCATTGCCACCAGAGGAACGACCACAGCAGAAGGAACAGGAGCCAAAACCTCTACAAGAAGAAGAGCATCCACAGGAAAGCAAAGGCAGTGCAATACAATCTACAGCAGAGGCAAACAACGCGGTGATTGAAAACCGTCAAGAAAAGGCAACAACAGCAGAGGGAAGCAACAAAACATCAGACGTCAACGACATGGAGATTGAAAACGCAAAAGAAACAAAAGAAGCCGAAAGCAAAACCACTCAAGAGACTGGAGCAGAGGAAAACAGAAGCAGCAAGGAAGCTACAAAAGAGAGAAAGCAGCCAAAGGATGAAACTGTTCAAGTCGCTGCCGAGGAGCAGGATAATGGTATCGCTGCAGGCAGTGCCGCAGCACCTGCTCCAACCAATACGTCTCACGAAGGGAATGCTGATACAAATGCACCTGCAAGTGCTGTTAATAGGACGACTACTGCATCTACCAGTAACACTGGAAGCAGCCAGAGATCGGCCAGATCCAGCAAACGCACTGCGGAAGTTCCTGCGCGAGTCAGTCGCTCGTCGAAGCGCGTTCGAAGTCAACAGATTTCCTCCGACAAGAAGGATGAGCGCCGTCGCAGGCGAAAGTGTGTGGGATTTTGTCTCCGTGCTGCAACCCTAGCCTGCTCGGTAGAGGAAGATAAACCAAGAGATGTCGTGGGTCTAGTCGACTGGGACTTGATTCGCGGCGAGGGCTGGAAGCTTCCCTCGACGCTCGAAGGACGTCAGTCGTTGCAGGCCAAGGGAAAGCAACCCGCAGCTGAAGAGTCACGTCAGAGCTTTGAAGCTGAAGAAAGAGTCGGTGGCACTTCACTGTCTGCTTTTCTGAGGCGCTTAACCTCCAAAAGAGGAAGAGCTCTTGAACTGCTGCAGCAGTACCTAGGCCACGTGGCTGTCAACGTTGAAGCGGTCTTTCTCGTTGATCCTGGCGACAACATGGTACTGACAACGACTCTCAAGGGGTGTTACGAATTGCTTTCCCACCATAGATTTCACAACGCAATCGTACCTAGTTTTTTTGAAGAGGGGAAACAAAGCTTATCTGTCTTGTCGACGCAAGAAAAGTTGGAGCTTCTGGCGATTGATGTGTTGCATGCAGAGCTAAGGTTCAAAACATGTGAGCGCCAACAGGATATGTTGTATGATTTTGACGGCGACCCGAACTTTGTTAGCTTGATGGTTTCGGTGCTGTTGCGTGGTGTCTCGCGGCTCGATGACGAAATGAAGGGAACAGAATGGGAACGGGATTGGTTGAAACTCAAGGCCAGAGTGAATTGGCTAGTTGCGGGTATCTTTCTGTGGAGGTCACGAATCACCAATTGTGTTGGCGAATCCATCGACGCGGAAGAGCAAGGTCTTGAATTCATCGACGCGACCGTCGAGTGCTTGGACGGGTCGCTGGATCTCCTTCGGGAATTGGCTACTCCGCATCTCCTGTCCCCCGGACGAAGCGGGGCTCACTGGAAAGCGCTCTCCAAAGAGAGCCTGTCTGCTTACAGGGAAGAAATCGAAGCATCCTCCCTCATTTCGCAAGCACAGCATCAGTTTCAAGAGCGAGTGGCGCTGATTGTGAAGCGCACCAACGCAGAAGATATGTCCACTTTGGAGGAAGGGGATGTATCCGCGTTCGCTGGGATATGCGATACGCTGTTGAAGCGATATGGCGCCGAATTTGGTGAGGAGGGGAGCAAACACAGGGAGCTTCTGGACAACCTGATGTCAGTGGCCGGAGATGAGACGTTCCAGGGTCCCGCTCCGCCTGTTTCTACTTCCGAAGAAAACGATTTCCGCTCTGAAGGGCTTGATGCGATTATCCCGGTCGGGTCTTTTGATGCAAGACGGCTGTCGAAAATGTCCAACCCCAGGTAGGTGGAACGCTGAAACGTCCATGAATCTTTCGTTGGCGAATCTGACCCTCAACACTTCCTTGAACATTCAGCATATTGACAATGCTTGTGTCCTGCCTTCAGGTGGTTCCTGGCAAACATGTTGAGGTGGTGCAAACATTGACCAGGCTAGTGTTGACTTGCCTGGATCGATATGCTCAGAAGTGTCAAAGCGAAGCTCACGAAAAGCAAACGCAAACGCAGCCCGATGAAGACGAAAGCGACAGCGAGGATCTGGATTCAACTGACATGGAAACGGATCAGTCAGACAAAGGTGGGCCGAGTGCTGACGCGCTGAAAGTCGGTCGTATGGTTGTGCGTTTGTTGGGCAAATTGCGACGAGCTGTGGAGGGTCTGCCAAGCGCAGAAATGAAGGTGCAAATCGCTTCTTCCAGAGAGTTTGTTCACATGCTTCACCATTGTCTTGCGTTGTGTTCATCCTGGGCCGACGACTTTGTACGACAACCGTCGGCACTTGAAAGTTTACTCGATCGCGACGTTTTCGTGTCAACTCGAGATCTGGTGCATTCCTTTTTCGCTCTTCCCGATATGGATTGCCTCAAAGAGCTGTATTTTGGAGGCCTCGCGAGAGTCATCACCAAATCACAGGTCTGTTTTGCCTCATTGGTTCGCGTGCAAGGGACCATTCGAGTTAGGCGGGCTGTGAGGCAGCGCATTTGCATTCAACGTGCCGAGTTTATCGCTGTAGTACTCTGTGAGGTTGCCCATCTTCTGTCGGAGAAACGGAATCTGTTCCGCGTCAACGGAAGTCACATACTGCGATCGGAGCTTGTGGCAAACACGATATACGAAGCTAAGAACGTGGGGGAACCCTTTCAAGTTTTCGCCCTTTGCGAATCGCTACTGTGGTTCTGCATGTATTCGAGAGACGGGAACGACGATGCTGCAACGTCGTTCGACAAGCCCATCATTCAATGTTTGAGAGTTCCCCTGGCGACTGCGATTGTAAGTCTATGCGGTTCCGCTTCGGCCACGAGACCAGACGCGAGACACACGTCCAAAAGGAAAGCCAAGCACCTGGTTTTCGATGAAGAGACGAATGCAGACAGGCTATCCCTTGTTCACTTCTTGGACTCAGATGCCAGCGTTCATGATTACTCTGAGAACGAAGACGAGATGCAGCAAGATGGTTCAAAGATGGAACTGCTGAGGGTGCTTTGTCACATCGTACATTGTTGTGCGATCGTTTTCGGAAGAATCGACGAAAAAGAGATCGTCGCATTCGACAAATGCGAGACGTACAAGACGCCTCACGGTCCTTTGTTGCCATTGGTGGTTACTAGGGTGCTCAACCATGTCGCCGATATCTTGCTCGAACAATTTGCAGATGATGACGAGTCTGAGAGCAACCAGGGTGTTTGGGCGGACCAGTATCCCTTCGCTACGGGTACCATCGGTTTACTTCTTGATTCGGCCTTGTACAAGGCATACCGACTCTTGTTTGGGTTCACCCTTCAAGGTGGGAATGAATTTTACTCGAACAAGGAGCACGTGAAGACTGGCAGCGCTGATGTCGAAATTGCCAAAAAGTCTGCTCCAGAAAACGAACACTCGGCAGCTCAGCTGTATCGATGCATCCTGCGAGCGGGAAAGAAAAAGACTCCACCCAGAGCAGCATTTGAGACGGTGGCCTCCGCATTGCCACCGCTAGGACAAACATCGAAGTCAAAATTGATGAGATCATTCTTGTTCTCAACAGATTGGGAGAACTTTGAAGTCAATGCCATCAAACCAATAATAACGAAAGCTCCTGGATGGCAAGAGCATTTTGTTCTGGCGGATCAGTGCTTAAGTGACCAGGAAGAAGACCGGGGCAAGGATGAAACACAAGATGCACCTGTCGACGAAGTTGACATTGTTCAAAAAGGACTCCTCACACAATTGGCACAGGGTGATCTCCCCACTTTTTCGAATGAATTTGGCGCCAAAGAGGAGGACCAAGCAATTGAAGATGCACTGTCGCGGAAGTTCTTCGCAATTTTCAACACGCTTTGTTTCGGCGACTCTTATTCAGTCCGTGGGTGGTTCCGGGCTTCCCAATGCTTGATGCTCAAGTACAACTTCATTGCAGATCGACTGGGCCTTTCTCTTGGTTTCTCCAGGAATGCGAATTTCATCATCCCAGAACAGCGCCCTCCACGGGTGCATCGTCTTCCTGTCGCAGCAATCGAGGAGAAGCAGAAGCAAGAACAGATCATGGCAGAGGCTGGGTGGATTCCTTTCCTGTTCTTAGAAGACTTATCATTGTACGTGAAACACCGCTTTTCCGACACAGAATCACTGAAATCGTTGTCAGCATTGGTTCCAAAGGGCCACGGCGAAGGAACAGACGACGCCACCAGACGCTGCCGACGAGTTGACGTAGAATTGGGGAACATGCTCGATAAAGGGTGCCTTATTGAATGGCAGCAGGCTTGGGGAGGCATGTTTGTCTCCGCACTACAGAAGATGGCAGTACGTTGTATGTGCATGGCGGTATGGCTATTCTACAAGCTCCCTGAAAAGATGGATCCCGAAGACAAGGAGTTAATGCCGGAAATATTCGAGGCATTGGGGACAACTTTCTATGCGAGCCTTATGGCCTCCCAGAGCTACGGATACCCGATGCACGTCATGCCGAAAAATCGCAAACGAAACCTTGCGTTTGCGTCTCTGGAATGCTTCCAAAGAGCAGTAGAAGTTGAAAGAGAATTGGACAGCGAAACAGAGACTTGGGACTTGAGTTTCATGATCGGGAAGGTATGTACAATCCAGAAACGTGCGTTTACCGTGGTGTGATTTTTTACTCATAGTCCGAACAGTGTCACGAAAAAATTGCCCGGACGTATGAGCTCGAAGGATACCCAACCGCAGACGGCTCTTGCCGAATTTACGAGGAGCACATGAAAGCAGCACTTGCTGCGTACTGTGCATCGCTTGATGAAAAGCCCGCCGATGGAGTGGAAGCTGGAGGGAGTTCTCATGGACGTCTTGAGATATTTTACAGACTGCACGCCTCTCGCTTGAAGTGCCTCTTGGCGGCTGCTCTTGCGAATGCAGACGAACGCAATCTTGCCGAGAATGAAGCACTTCGACTAACCGAAGAGCACTTTTTTGCTACTACTTCTGGTGATGCTGACAAGGACAATTCGAAAGAGCGCAGCATTCGGGAACGAGTTTGGAGTGTCCTGGCAGACATCGTGTCGGCACTGGCTCAGTGCAGACAGGACCACGCGTTCTTTCACCGGTCTGTATACAGAGTAAGCATCGCTGGGTACACGCTTCTTGGCTCTGTTGCCGGCTGTGACTTTTTTTCTAACGATGCGTGCTTTATTCCTTCCATTGTAAAGCACGCCCAAGCGCTCATGTGGAGTCCTGTACTGTACGACCCTCGCACTGGTTGGATAACGGGGAGCCGAGGCAAAATCCCTCCATCCAAGAGCTGCCAACTGCGAGGATGCAACCAAGCGACCAATGTTGCCATGAGCGCACTGGCAGTGCTGAGTGTGCTCTTCGAGAAGAAACGGTAAGCCGAACCTTACCTCCATGGAGTTCTGTTGGTTCAAATTGGTGTCACTGATCAGTTGGAGTGCACATGGTTGACAGGTCACAGCTGGTAGCTGTTTGGGTGACGACATCGTTTCCCCCCACCGCATTTGAAACTTTGAACAATTCCGTTCGGAAATACGACTCTCTTCGGGGAAAGTACCTTGCTGCTCACTCGGACTGTCTTCGACTCTGTCAGAGTCGAAACGAGCTAGAAACCCTTCTTCGCTGGGTCTCTAGCAGCAAGCGGGACCTTACTGCGGGCTTTCAGAACAGTGTACTGGTAAAGGATAAGCCTCACACACGAGACTCACTGTTGGAGAATCGATCGATGATATCCTCGAATTTCTTGACCGGAATCAAGCGCAAATCAAACAGCGACATGGCCCACGTGCTGAACCAGGAGCTCCTAAGCGAGGATAAAGCCGCTGCATCCGCGGAGGATCAATTGAAGCTTGCTTATGCTTGCTATCTTCGACTGAACTGCAGCATCGCAGAGCTCAGAAAGACAGACGCCTGGAAGTATTCTCCTGGTAGTTTCTGGGAGGTCGAGGCTCTTTGTTCAGCCTACCAGAAATTCCAAAAGGATAAAGTTGTCATGATGGAAGACCCGATGGACTGGTCGGGTGGCGGTCAACGGGAACAACTGCTGGGTGCTGCTCTCCGGAAATGCAAAGAGCTGTTCCCTTCCGTCTCGGCGACTTTCTTTTCCAAAAGGTCGCTGAGCAAGTCCAAAGCAGAAAGACGCGGAAGTGGGAGCAAGGACCCCCCTAGTCAGCTGGCTGGAAAGAAGCGATCGTTCGAAGTGCAGGTACCCGATAACCTAAAGCCCGGTGATACCTTCACGACAACAATCATGGCTGGTGAGACGGCGAAGAAAGTGAAGCTTACAGTCCCCGAGGGAGACGTTGACGTGCTGCGTTTTTCGATTGACGAGAGCACGGACGTAACAGAGAAATAGTTTACTCTAGTCAATTCTTTGAGCGGCAAAATGAGTATGTAGAGAAACAAACACTATAGCTAGTTCTTCAAATCAAGTACATTGTTGACTTGTAATAGATATACTACACTTGTCAGGCAACGTCGTGCATTCGCACACCATGATTAGCCCCGTTCAATGAATCAATTGTTCTCAAATCTTTGCTTTCGACGACGGAGGCTCTTTGGAGTCGTTGTTGTTGTTGTTGTCGTCGTCGTCTTGAATATCCGTCACTGGTCTTTTCTTGAGAAGCAGACTTCTCTTTTTACTCGGTTTCCTGGCTTTTTCTCCATCATGATGATCATCGTTCGCGGGCTGGTTGTCCGATTCATTGGAATTGTTGTCGACATCGTTGGGTCCCTGATTCTCCTCCGAGTCATCTTTGGTAGAATCACTGGTTCCTCCCAAGTCGTCCTTTGCATTGGCAGCCTCTTCTGCCAATGGTTTTTTCACCTTTCCCGCCGTCACCCTAGCGCATTGTCGGATCAAATCCAGCGATGCCGATGGCATTTCTTCCGACTCGTTGAGGGGCTTCCACAAGTCACTGACGGCCAATACTTGCATGAGCCACAAGGACATTCCTTCTCCATCCTTGGTTTGTGGCCGTTTGTCCAAAAGTCGCGCCCATCGCTTTCGCCGGCTCTCGACGACTTGGACCCTTTCGTGTCCCGATCTGAGACAGACTGATCGACTATCGGAGCTTTTGGAGGAATACTTGCCACTGGAGGACTTTTTGGACGATGACTTGGATTTTTTGCTGCTCGTGCTCCCTCGTGTGGTAACTTGTGAAGGGATATGGGATCCTTCTTCCGTGCGATTCTTGCTGTTGTTGTCGCCGCTATCCCCAATGCCTTCAGTATCGGGACCGCCCTCCGCCGTGGTGACTTGGGATGGAATGGCAGCCTCCTTCATCATCATGGCCTCATCATGATCATGATTATTCTCTGCAGCGGCAGCAGCACTGGCACCACTACTACTATTGATGCTGGGACGACTGGCCATGACCTGTGAGGGAACAGCAGCTGGATGAGCCTGTGATTCTGTTTCTCCCCCCACCGATGCTCCTTCTTCTTCCGTGACCGAAACTTCATCGTCATCTCCGGTATCCTTTCCTGAGGGGTCCCCATGTTTGTGTCTCTTTCGAAAGTTGCGTTTGGCCACGGGTACTTTGCAATGCGAGCAATATCGGAATTTGACTCCAGCATTGCGGCATGTGAAATAGGAGCAGATGAGTTCTTCTCCATGCTTGACATTTTCTGGAATGACAAAGTAGGCAGTCTGGCAGCAAGTAAAAACAACAAGAACATTAGTTAGTCCATTGGTCCACCGGCAACTTGAAAGAATAGCTAGCTACAGTAGCTAGTATTCTTGCGTACCTTGAAATTATGGTCCATGGGCATTCCTCTGGCTCTACAAGGGACAATCACACTTCCAGGTGCCTTTCTGCGTTCATCCTTTCCAGCATCCGCCGCAGCAGCAGTGTTGTTGTTATTCCCCATCGACGCCGCCGTGGGCGCCGATGGCTGACCCTGAAATCCAGCTCGAATTTCTCCGACATGTCCCAGTGGGGGTGGAGCTGCTGCCTGTTGTTGCGAGGTAGTGGCGGGTGGTTTTTGCTGCATCAAATCCGTGGTAGATCGGTTACTATTACTGGCAGCAGCACTACTGTCTGTGGGAGCCTCCGCGGCAGGAGCAGGTGCTTGCGCCGTGTTGTTGTTGGTCGGTTGTGACGACGACAAGAGACCCGCCACATTGCCGTGCTGCGCCAAGTTCATAAAGTTGGGTGGTGGAGCCGCTGCCGGTTGCGGCTGTTGCTGTGGTGGTTGCGGAGCTGCAGTTGTTGTCGTGCTCTGCTGCTGCATATTGGCCAACGCAGATAGAAAGTTATTCTGGGGAAACTTTTGACTCATCTGTTGGGACAGCTGTTGCGAGAGCTGTTGCATGAGCTGCTGCTGTAGCGAATTCTGCGGGGCTTGCCCGTTCTGGCCTGGTGGTGGACCACCAAAGGCACCGTTACCAGCACCTGCGGCATTGTTCATCTTGACCGAGGCTCTTCACGCTTGAGGAGGATCTGGAGATCTGGAGAGATGCTCTATCTAGTAGATCTATCGGTGGTTGTGCTAATGACTCGACTCTTCTTCAGGACTTCAGGTTCTTCTGTCTTCGGAACAGCAATAGTATTACAGTAGTCAAAGGTCAAGGGTCTGGTCCTGGAGGTGTCAAAGGTCTTCCTTCACAATGTCTGATACACGTTCTATGTGACGATAGATGAGAGGAAGGAACCTTGAGAAGGGTCTTGGCTGATCCTCACAAAGCACAACTTCGGTTGAGTGAACAGCGTTGGTGAGATTGCTACCGGTGCAACATGCAGATCCTGCTGTTTTGTGGGCTTGGCAGTGACCATGACGCCTGCAAGCTTGAACCTCAAATAAATGTCCACCCTCCGGAAATCTTGACAAGCTCAAAATTCGATACATTCAATTCGATCCTCTTGAACATCCAGTTCGAATTCTCCACTGAGGACTGAGTCGAGTCGAGTCACTCACTCGGATCGACTTTGAGTGCAGTGACGAGTTGAGTCTCAGTCACAGCATGGGGGGACTGACATCATTGAGGTTCTCGGCGACCGTGCGCCTCCACCTGGAATCAAAGAAACTCAAGATTTCTGCCACCACAAAGCTTCAGTCGCATTCATGATCTAGCTTGTCCGCCCCATCATTCTCACCAAGACAAATAGTCTAAGTTGCCTACTACATTGTAGCTAACCTTGCCATACTTTGACTATTCATTCAAGAGCTGAAAGATATAATATATACTTGATTTATTAGCCCAAGAAAATGAGACTCAATCAATCGGGCAAGAAGAAGAAATCGTCCAGCAAAGGATGGCTCAAGGCATCTGGTGGCGTCAGCGAGAAATCGACCGTCACACCCAAATTCCTGGGACCTGATGTTCTCATTGGAAGGGTCTCATCTTCCATGTTGGAGCTGTCGTACGCTCCCAAGATGAAAGATATGGCCACTCAAAGTCTCCAGGCATATGCGGAAGAAATGATGATTTACGACGACAAGGTAGCCGAGTTTCGAAAAGAAGCAATGGCACAAGGGCAGGAGGATAATCCTGCCACACAACAAGGAGACGAAGAAGTTGATAGTACTGAGACAACAGAGGAGGAAGAGGTGGAAATTGAAGCAGATGGCTCCATAAACGAGGTCCACACAACAATCGATCTGGAACCCCCGTTTCCGCCACCGCCCAAGCCACTGTTTCATTCGCAGTACATGGTGGATGAGTTTCTGGCCACCATCGGTGACGTACAGGACCATTTTTCGGACAGTGGAGGTTGGAAGATCCACGCAAACGCTGCCAAGTTTGAGAGGGCCCTAGACGAAAAGTATGGGGTCTTTCGACCATTCATCACCAATCATCCCGAAATTGAAGTTTTCATTCGATCCGTGCAACGCAAATACGCCATGGGATACTTTAGCCCCTTGCGCCAGGGCAGTGCTCCCATCCCAAAGTCGACCTCGGTCATTCTGCTCTTCATGATGCAACGACAGGGTGTACGTTGGGATGCAATCATTTTGGCGTCGTTGTTCTTGCTCGTCGGATTACAACCATGGGCTCTTGTTGTCGTCATTGCAATCTTTCAGCAGCTCATGCATCGAAGAGCCATGAAACCCATTGGAGGAATGAGCTCCTACGTAGAGCCAGTCGAACCTTATTGGAGAGTCTACAACAAGAAGAAGACAGATCCAAACAGCAATGACAAAACTACCGAAACAACAGAATCATTGGATTCTCCGGAGAGAAGAAAGGAAATCCTATTGGAACCAGTGGGCAAACCAATGCCACAAGGTGAAAAGATTGACGCAAAACTATATGACACAATCATCATTGGCACTGGCCCAGGGACACTCTACGCGGGAGCCTTGCTGGCAAGAGCCGGCAGAAAGATACTTGTTCTTTCCCCAGGAGCCGATGCCAGTGGATGCATCACACTGGAGGGCGGGTCCAAACAATACAGCAAACTGCCGTTTGACGTCGAGTCCTCTAGTATCAGTCGAATTACTCGACAACAAGAACTCCTGGCGCCTGCCTTGTGCACAACCACAGACTTTCAGGGTGGCGTTCGATTTGCACAAATCGGTTCCGAAGCGGACGGATACGCATATGAGATCCTAGCCATACCTGGAATGGGAGCCGACGATGTCGAAGGGCAAATTCCATTTGTCTTGCGAGCGGGTGGTGGTACCAGAGGATTCATGGATGACACTGCAACCCTGCTCGGCGATGGATGGCCAGCATCAGACGGGCCGGGATCGAACTTGAGTGGAGTCTATCTGGCTGCCTGCGCTTCTCTGAATGCCGAGGCTGGGGCCTTTTATCTATCCAAAATACTACCCGACGGTGCCAAGAGCTTTCAGAAGCAATCCAACTACCAGGAAGCTTCTTGTCGCTATGCCTCCACAATGCTGAACAGATGCTTCCCACTGAATCCACACTTGCGGTCACTCATGGCAGGAATTGGAATGAAAACAGAAAACCTAAAACCAAGCAACACTAGTTTGGGGGCACATGTCTCGACTATCTGCGGGGCTACGAGTGGAGAAGGCATGCACTATCCAGTGGGAGGACCAAGGTCGCTGTGCCATGCCCTGGCGAGTGTGATCGAACAGAATGGCGGACGAGTAGTGACTCAAGCTCACGTCAAAGAGTTGCTATTCAAGGACTCGGCAAAACTCAGCGAAAGCAACAACAACACCGGCAGTGAATCCAAGGAAGAACCGGTCCCACCACGCTGTATAGGCGTCAAACTGTCAAACAATGACACGGAAATTGTCTTGGAACAGCAGCAAAATGGAGACAGACAGCCTAGTGCTGTTATCAACTTGAGGGGATTCATTGATACCTTTGTGAGGTTATTACCAGAGGAAATACGAACGGCACACAAAGTGCCCATGGGACTTCCAGCACTTTCGGAACGACGTCCTGTTTTCAAGGTTCTCTTTATACTCAAGGGATCCGCGGATGAATTGAGTGTCACTGGTGCCGATTATTACCGTCTGCCGAGCGCCGCATTAGCTCGCGACACAATCGAAGCTGACACAGGAGCCGTGGTACTTGGAGAAATCGGTTCAGTCTATGCAGCCGGCAAGGACTCGAACGAAGGCGCCGACGAGGCAGCGGCGGACGTAACCGCAGATGGAACAAACGAGGAGAAAACGGCAGAAGATGCCGCTCAAGGCGGTGCAGCAAGGGGGAAACGCACAAAAGCAACTGCACCCAAGAAACACACGGGGAAAGTCAAGTACGACGCCGGAGCGTCCTGGATGCAGATATCGTTCCCCTCCGCAAAGGATCCCTCATGGGAAGAACGGCACGGAAAGGTTACGACCTGTGTGGTGACAGTCGAAGCCGATGACGATTTTGTTGTGCACTATGATACAAAACCCAAGCTGTTTTCAATCGTGGTGAACAAGGTGAAGGATGTGGGCAACAGGACAAGATTGATGGACAAGGTTAGAAAAGATCTTCTCGATGTGTACCCCCAACTCGAAGGTAAGAATTCTGCGGCACACCCTCCCCGCTGCTATGATGATACGGTTAGATTGCATGAGCTAACGTCGACTTCGCCTCTCTCTTGTTCTACGCCAAAAGGGAAAATCGAGGAGGAGTCTCTCAGTGGTCCTTTCACGAAGGGACTCAGCCACACCCCTGAACGTTATGCTGCCAAAGGAGTCCGCGCTGACACACCGTACCCTGGGTTATTTGTTGGCGGGCCGGACTTGACAGTTGGTGATTCCTTCTCAGGGTCAATTGTTGGAAGCTGGCTGTTGGCCAACGCAGTCATTGGTTATGGAACTCTTGATCTTCTCTTCCTTTCGAAAAACGTAACATCTGACCTAGGGAAATTCATGCATCAACCGGTGTTCTCAGACGATGAAGAATTGGATGTTGCTGTACCATTCGAGCAGCGGCAGGCTCAAGAGGAAGAGCCAGAAGGGATTGACAATAGAAATGAGCAGTCGGCGTCCTGAGGCGCCCAATGTTCTGCTCAGCAGGCCCTTCATGTTTCGATTGCCTCAGTCTGAGAGACGTGATCCCATCTGCGTGTCACGCGATTTTCGGTGGATGTTTCACGGATAAAGCTACCAATTATCTCAACAACGAACGAACACACAAACGTACATACGATCTGAAGCAAATTTGCCAATACCCTGGAGCTCGTTGATTGAAGGTTGCAATCCAGTGGAATATTCAGAAATAACAAAGATGTGGCCTATTAAGTCCACTAAAACATAGCTTACATCCCATCGTGTCTAGCTCGAGCTAGGGAAAGTTTGAGGATGGCAGAGTCGCAGGTTGGCAAAAGGGAGGATGGATGCAGGGGTCTTCAGCAATCCAACCCCGACCACGGAATCCTCCAAGCACATTGCACTCTGCCAAGATGATTCGGCTTTGGCCTATTTCTGCCACTGCTCCAAAATGGGTCACACACAGATCTGGACGGCTTGCAACTTTGATGTGCCCTTGAGTCGCAGGCAGTGTGGGGATAGCCATTATCTGGAACGGTGGTTTCAATGGGCCATTGCAGCCCTTGGCATACATTGGTGTTCCTTGCCCCAAGGCGTCTGGGCCCAGCATGAGAGCAGGGTATTGAGCTGCTTGCATGCATTCAGAGTCATCAAGTCTACTGCGAAATCTGCCTTCCATATCTAGCCTCCATTGAAGATTGAAATCGTCGGAGGAACAGGAGTCAAGAAAGAGGTCACCACCAGTTCCCCGACCCTTGCGAGCAAGGCACCCTCCACCGGCAGCGCGAAGGGTTACATAGTTGTAGTTGGGGTAAAGTGCTGTCCAGCCCAGTGCTCGGTCTCCTCCAAGCTGATTGCACGACAGTAGCATGATGCGGTCTTCTCCAATCTCGGGTATAGCACCAAAGTGGACGACGCAGAGATCTTCACGAGCGCGCAAGAACAAGGGACCCGACATTCCTGCAACTGTCCATGATTCGTCAAACACCTGAAGTTCCATCTTCAAGTTCTGGTTGCATGGCTTCAGATACATCGAATTCCCAGACATTAGTCCGTCAACGCCCGTCGAAATCTCAGGCACTTGACCAGCCTGAATACACATGCTGTCGTCAGATTTGCTGTGAAACCGACCTTCCAGGTCTTGCCGCCATAAAACAGCATCATCGTCAAAGCTGCATTCCTTAAGGAGTAGCTCAGAGCCGGCCATGAAATCACGCCTCCCAATGCACCCATCGCTTGCCGCAGCTAACATGAAGTATTCGGTCATTGGACATGGCGGGAACGCACAATTAAGATTTGGATCCCTCGACAAGAAGACTCCGTTAGGGCACTGCTTGACATCTTGAGTGCAAACGTCGGGTTTGGGGCAAGGAGGAAACTCGCAGTCCAAACTAGGGTCACGTGAAACCACAGACCCATCGCTGCATTCCAGGACATCTGCTGGGCAAACAAGTGGGGGGCAGGGAGGAAAGTTGCATTCGGGTGGGACCCGAGACACGAAAGTTCCATTAAAGCACTCTTTGACGTCAGTGTCACATGTTTCAATTTCTGGGCAGTCTTCAAATTCGCAGGTCGGTGGCACTCTCGAAACAAAGGAGCCATCAGGACACTGGAAAAAGAGATGTGTGAGCGGTATGCTGCCGTCATGGTGGGCGGGACAAACCAGTTCATGCACTTACTTGGATAAGGTCTTGGTTGCAGGTAACAGGTGGACAATCAGGGAAATTGCATTCCGGAGGAATTCGAATAATCACATCTCCACCCGGGCAGGTAATGGTGTCTGCGGGGCATGCAGGTGGCGGGCAGCTGCAGATAGAGCCAAAGACGAGGTTCAGGAAAGGGAGGCACCAACTCAAAAAAGAAAGGTTACCGAGGACGGCACTTACTCTGGGAACTGACAGTCAGGTTCAGTTCGGGTGAGCTCGGTACCATCGGGGCACACTTTTATGTCTTGGGGGCATGCTGGGGTGGGGCATCTGGAGGGAAACGAGAGCACCATGCTGTGAGTTTCATGCGCAAGCCTTAATAGAGAAGGGTAGAGAAGGCATGGTGCTTGTCTTACTCCGGAAATTCACAATCCAAGTCAGGATCTCGAATAAGTTCTGTGCCATCATCACAGGTAAACGAGTCTAAGGGGCAGACCGGGGTAGGGCATCTGGGGGGAAACGAGAGCACCATGCTGTGAGTTTTCATGCGCAAGCCTTGATAGAGAAAGAATGGTGCTTGTCTTACTCTGGAAATTCACAATCCAAGTCAGGATCTCGAATAAGTTCTGTGCCGTCATCACAGGTAAACGAGTCTAAGGGGCAGACCGGGGTAGGGCATCTAAGGGAGACAAAGCGATGTGAGGGAACTTCGGAAGAATAGTGCCGCATGCCACTCCTCAAGTAAACTTAACGGTGGGAATTCACAATTCAGATCCGGATCCCGCACCAGCTCTGTATCGTCATCGCATGTGAATATGTCTTGAGCACATTGTTGAGGTGGGCACCTGAAAGCAACAAAACAGAAGCTGACAGGGTTAGAAAACCGATACTTCTGAGAAAGGCCATGAAAATTGGATGAATTCTATTCTAATGTACTTGCGGTGGAAACTGGCAATCCAGCGTAGGATCCCGAAACAACTCAGTTCCGTCAACACACACAAATGAATCATCTGGGCAGCCTGGACAGCTGTGTGTGAGGGACGAATGAATAAATGAAAAGGGTAAGCAACCAGGATACCGCATCTTCATCATTTATTTGCCCTACCGGTACTGTAGCTGGTAGCAAGACCAGATGATTGAATCATGCGATTCTACATCGACAAGCCTTACTCTTCAAACTCGCACGTGGGCGGTTGGCGAACAACCTCGACGCCTCCTGGACACCTGAAGATATCGTTATTACACTGAACTCCACCACCACAAGGGGAGAAATCGCATTCCGGTGGAACACGGCCCACAAGCGATCCGTCTGGGCAAGAAAACAAATCGCCGTTACATTGTTGTTGTGCCACCACAACACTGACTGTGCTTGCCAAGAGCAATACAAGTAGTAGTGTTCCAACGGTATCTCCCCTGTAGGAAGTGTGGCGGGGCTTGGACATGACTTTACAAGCTTCAGTTCAGCGTTGCCTAGCTTGATAGCTATTCTGGTATCTTTGACTAAGCGTATTGGTTGCAACTTGGGATTCTCGTCTCTCTATTATACTGACGTGGGAGACTGATGAAGGGTTCACCGGTGCAATTGTCACTGGAATTGCAAACAATATTCCCTTGAATTTCTGGTTCGTCTGGTCTTGCAGCTGCTGCTTCTCTTAGATATTCTCGATGCTTTAAAGTCTTGCCTTTGACACTCTCGCAGAATCGAATGATGAATCAAATCAAGGACTACTGACCATTCGGCATAATATCCAATGGCATGGTTTTTGTTGGAGGTGGCCAAAGATCGGAGGCTTGAAACGCGAGAGAAAAATGAGGCAGTGACAGTCTTCAATCGTTCTTCAAAAATAAAGCGGCAGAGCCTTCAAATGGACTATTAATAAATGAGCCAAGCAACGTACATGTATCATGTATGCATTCCCACCACAGCCATTCCAGAACCAATCTATGCTACCGGTATTGCCATGCACCAATGCACACCGGAGGCAATCTTTCAGTGGGACTAATCTGAGCAAATCAATCCTGCAAGGGAGGATTGACTGCTCCTTTGGACAGGTTGCGGCATGGTGGCTAATTTTTATCCATAACTCCCAAAGCATGTAATGTAGGTTGGCTGGGCAACTGGGCAGGCAAAGTGTATGGGGATGCTTCAATCTTCAATCATGATCCATCCACATAGACGGCTGCATGCAAGCGTCTTGTGCCTTGGTTGGTGGCCACGATGCTTACATCACTGACAGGTTTCTTGTCAAGGGGAATGTGAAGTCATGAACATGTCACGCAAGCCTAAAGACTAAGTTTAGGACTCTTGCTTGTTTCTCCAACTCGTTCTAAGCTGTACATGTAGCCCATGGAATACTGTGCTACCATGCATCATCACCCCCGTCATCAGAACAAACGTGAGGGGAACGAGTTGGTGTTTCCATGCAGCATGCATTCCACTAAAAGGAGGAAAAAAGAGATTCCCGCAAGCGAGACGTTTGGAGGGCAAATAAATCTATGCTACGCACGAGCACATGACTTGAGCTCTTCTTATTGTAATCAATTTTAGTTTTAGTAGCTCTATCCGCAGAGCTTGCAGCCCCGAGTTGGCAATTCGCACAACCGCGGGGGAGCTGTTGCCGTCCACGGTCGTCCACGCTCAGCACGAGCCTGTAGCGTTTTCGTCAGCAATCTTCCAAATTGAAGAAGCGTCATTCACAGGAAATGAAACAACGGCGACGTTCGTGAAGGATCAAAATCAAGATCGATTGATCGATTGGTTGTCGTCTCATTATTCATTATCCCTCAACCATCCGGATTATATTGCCACAACTATTCTACTAGCTAGCTAGCTGCTACCGTACAACTCTCTAGCCAGTCAGAGCTAACAGGACGCAATAGCCAAGGTTGTTTGGTTAGCTGTCTGTCTTGCAAGAAGTTCCTCATCTGATTGTGATTTGATTCCGGTACCAAAAACGACAGATCCATGGAGGAAGCCACCAATAATATGAAGACAGAGGAGAATCCGGCGAATGGTGAAGAAGATGCCGTTACCAAGCGGCGGAAGAAGCTGTTTGGGGATTGTGCATTGATCGAGATCATCCACTTGCATGATTGCCTTCGTGGGGCTACGTCCGCCCTAGAGAAAGATGTGAATGAACTCAGTCAATCCGCCGGATTAAAATCGGAATCACAGTCTCAGTCTCAGTCTAGCATTGAGCAACTGGAGCGGCGTGTGTCGGGACGTTTCAAGGTGATCTGGAGCGTCTTTCGTGCTCACTCATCGGCGAAGACGAATTTATTTGGCCAGCACTACAGTTGAAGACACAAGGACGCGTGAAGCACCATTCCCCACGCTATGAACCCGGGGAAGCTGCCAGCAACAACAATAAACCGGCCGCCCCCGAGGCTGTCATTGAACAATCCGAATACGAGGATGATCACAAATCAGAAGAGGTAATGTTTGAAACAATTGATGCTCTTTTGGACAAGCTAAGAAAAGGCATACTCGAGCAGAAAGAAGGTTCCACGGCCGTTTCATCGGAAACTGCCAAAAGATCCGCGGCTATTCCAACGCGGACCGCTGGCGGCTCGGCAACCACAATTCGCGACACGGCACTGGCTCTGGCACAACACACACAGTCCCTCTCCAAGCATTTGTATGAGCACTTGGAAAAGGAGGAAACGCAGTGCATGCCACTCGTGGTCAAGCATCTTACGAGGAGCGAAATACACGATCTGGTGGGAAACATCATGGGCAAGCGCTCGTCGGACCTGATTGCACAAATCATGACCATGGCCGTGCAGAATCTCACAAATAATGAACGCGAAGAAATGATCAAGTACATGAAACAGGCCATGGAGGGAACTTTCTTTGACCGGTGGCTGGTCGCTGCCGGCTGGATGCAAAAGCCAAAGGAAACGCAACCAACCGATGCTGAACAGGGCACAAACTCGACTGAGACTCGAAATGCAGCAGCCACAACAGCGTCTGCGGCAGAAACAGACAGTGTACCGACTCCTCCACAAATTATGTCCAGCTTGGAATCCAAAAAGCGCCCTCCGGAAAGCCCATTGAACCACGCGACAACTACTACAGACTCCAAGCGGCAGCACGTGGGAGGACAGCAGGAATACTGCATGCCCGCCACATCATCAGATAAAACAGAACGCCGAAATTCGTTGGAAGGCGCTCGCATTACGGGGCAAGCAGAGCTAGAACAGCTTATTCGTGCTGTGGCATCCAACCCGTCCTTGACGCCAGTGCAGAAGAACACTACGATCCAAGGTCTGCGGGACTCGGTTTGGAAAAGCAACCAAAGACAGCGAGAAAAGGGAGTTGGACAAACTTCGAAGCATCACTTTGCGGAGCAAGCGAGTGTGGTCACAAGGTGAGGTTGGATATTATGGGCCATGCCTTTTGGCTATTTTGTGTTATGGCTATACTGTATATTGGTGACTAACTGAGTTGTTGTACTTTCTCATGTTTAGTGATGTTGTGTCTGCTGCTGTGAGTGCAGCGATGGTCAAGATGCGAAGAGCCACACCGCCATCAGTTTACATGAAGAAAAATGACGCGGGCAAGGTAGAGTTTGTCTGGAACAGGTAAGATGAACGACGTGAAGCCATAAAGGCAGCAGTCGCCTAAAGAAGCATCTTCTAACGAGAATTATATTTGATTGTTTGATCCTCTTCTATAGCGATTCTCCTTCGTCGATTCCGCCAAGTGAAGCATCCGTTCCGTTGTTTACCGCTGCAGAGCTGGCACCCACTTACCACGACGGAGCGACTGGTGCTGTGCTTGGTTGCCCCCACTACGCACGCGCCTGCAAACTAAGACATCCCAAGTCTGGTCGTCTTTACACTTGTCGGTTGTGCTGTGAACAAGATCGGGACATGCCAATGAAAGATCAAGATGAACCATTGGATCGGTATGCTGTCACTGAAGTCATGTGCATGAAGTGCACTGGCCTGCAACCCACTGATGACCGATGCAACAACCCCAACTGTGAATCCTACGGCAAGCCATTTGCAAAGTACTATTGCCGCATCTGCCACTTGTACGATGACCGACCCCACAATGTCTTCCACTGTCCATTCTGTAACACTTGCAGAATGGGAATGGGTTTGGGTATTGATTTTAGACATTGTATGCGATGTAACGCTTGTGTATCACTCGCCGACGATGACCACCGCTGCATTCCCCAAAAGCTTCAAGGAAGCTGCCCAATCTGCCACGAGAGCATGTTCTCTTCGACAGAGCCATTGCGTGGTTTGAAGTGTGGCCACGTAATGCACTTGTCATGCTTCACGATGTATAGACGTGGGCATGCATACACATGTCCCTTATGCCAGCGCTCAATGGAAGATATGCGCGACCACTTTGCTCTCCTCGATGCTGCTGTGAGGATGCAGCCTATGCCGGATGCATACCTATCCACGGTCAGCAACATTTATTGCCAGGATTGTGGCAAGACAGGGCAGGTGCAGTATCACTTTGTGGGACAAAAATGCCCTTGCTGTGGTTCATACAACACTCGAGAGATGTCAAGGGTACAGAACAGACCAGCTCTTGTTGATACTGCCGCTGGCTCAGCTCCATTATAGGAGAATCTCCAAAGTGTATTTGGCAGTCTAGCTAGTGTCTATCAATCTGCAACGCAGTAAAATGAAGGAGTAATGAATATAGCTATGAGATGCCTGAATCCTTCAGTACTCTTTGCTTGGAGTCTTTGTGATAAGCTGCCCCTGCCTCCAGATTTTGTCTATCCATCCTCCTTATCCGGGCCATTTGAGATTAATCCGCACTTCAGCAAAGTGCAGGAATACCAACAATAGGTGGGTGTAGACTCTACCAGTGCAATTTGACCCAACTCATCCAATCTGTATTGGCTGGTACAAGTGAATTGATTCTGGCTTCTTAAGGATGGCTTTCTCGGACCAAAAGAGCCAGGAAGAACAGAATACAATCCTGGATCCGTTGTCACACTGCCGACGTTTCTGACTGATAGTGCGCTGGGTGGTATCTCGCGTCCAATATAGAAGCATCCTCCAAACAGTGATGACATCCTGGTGTCTCTCAATCTGCTGCGACAGTAATGGTAAGGAGTCAGTGACTATAGCTTTGAGAGGACTGAATCCTGTCATCTGTTTGTCTGAAGACAGTAGATGTGCTACCCCTGCGCCCAGATGTTGTCTATTGTCTATTCATCCTCTTCGTCTGGACCATCGTTTGAGATCATGGGGAGTGCATCATCATCATCACTGCTGTCACCCTGGTCAGGGCCGCCGGTGTCGGCAATCAAAGGCATGGCTTCATTGTCATCGTCAGCAGATTGGTTTCCTTCCTTGTCAGAGGATTTATCAGAAGTGTCATCCGGTTTGGAGGAGGTTGAGGCTACCCCAGTTTCTCCTGCATCAGCCTTGTTCGCTTTGCTTGGTGACGCATTTTGTTGTTTTGGGGCTGGTGTCACAGACGCTGACGGTGCGGAATCCTTTGCTTCCGCCTTCTTCCTCCTCTTGCTCTTGGGTTCCTTTTTCTTGCTGTTATCGCTTTCGTTTGTGCTCTCGTTGTTCAAGGCATGCTTGGTGTTTTGGATGCTGAATGACAATCCTGATACGTCTTCTTTGGGTCTGAAAACGTGCCATTTTGTATCGACGAAGAGGGCGGGAACACCAGGGTTCACTCTCGCCTCATGCAGGCGCAATGCCGAAGAAGCAGCGATGCTAGTTTCACTGTCATGCGTTCTGCATTTCTGTGCTGTCACACAAAGCTGTTCCCCGACAGATGAGCAAGCCCCCGTTGGAAGAGGTGAAGCCTCGCATTTAGAGCCCAAATGAAGCATGGCCACTTTTGCCACTGGGCTTAGAGCAACCCGACTGGCATCTGGAGAGACTAACGCCTTCAGCCCTGCCACCACGTACGAATCAACAAGCACGCGACTTTGAAGCGACATGAACCCTCCACATGATTCAACGATACCGGCCAATGAGTCCGCACCTGTTTTGCTGCAGTCCACAAGACGGAGAGAGCATGAGAGATGTTGATCACGCATTATCTTGCGTTGCAAAAGAATCTGCAACAATCGCACTTACGCAAGCTCCACCCGTTCTTGCAGAGTTCCGTAGTCTTCTTTTTCGTCGTACCCATCCCACAAAAGCCCCAAGAGACATCTCCCGATAAACGCTACAAATCGCTCGGCATCTTCCGAGTTGTACCGACCTTGCAGGGACAAAGAGCTTCCATTGCTGCAACCTGGACGTAGTCCAAACATTGATACAACAAGTGAAAACGTCTGGACAGCCTCTCGTTTCAATGAAATCGACCCAGCCAACGTTTGATGGTTGAATGCTCTAGGGACGTTGGTTTGAGCTGTCAATGATGGTGCCGGTTTGTCGACTGTGGACGATGCCATCCTCAAGAGGCGATCTGCCCGTGACATCAGAGTTGGGATCCCCAGTGTTGATAGAAATGCTCTCGATAATCTGTGACCAAGAAGCTTGACGTTACAGACACGGCCATCAATAAGCGACTGCTGGCGTTTGCTTCGATTCGAATCCAAGGGGGCCCGGTACGAGAGCATAGTCTCCAATAGTTGACAGATTTTATCAAGAGATACTCCCCCCTTTGTCAAGAGAGCGCAGTTGTCCACACCAGGAAGTGGCTCTCGTTTGAGTAAGGCGAGGATCAAGGTAGACAGACCATTCACGATGAAGCGAAACTGTGCATCTTTTTCTTCTTCAGGAGCCGGGCCCTCTTGAAAATACGCAATTATATCGGGGAACAAACCACCGATCTCTTTGGAGAATTGCCATGATGATTCCACAGACGCCAGATTTGGACGTAGAGGCATCACTATCTGTAGTACTGTCGTGAGGCCAATGACGATGTCTACAAGAAACTCGCTCCAGCGAACATTTTGTTGTGAATCATTGCTTCTCGAGCTATTGTTGTTGTCTTTCATCGCGCCTGTCCACGGGAGTGCCGCCAGAAGCTCTGAAGCAGCCATCTGAATATCATTGCAGGGGATTGTCAGCGTCGTCCAACCTATCTTCCAAATATCAGCAACCAAACTGGAATTCCGGGAAAGCTGCGCTCCATAGAGTGTGATTAGAGAAGCCATTGCCGTCAGAGTACTCTCCAGTGTTGATATTTCGTCGGTACGGTCATAGAGCTTCATATCAAGATACATCTCGAATCCTTCCTTGCCAATGAAACGTCCACCAGCAGGATTATTCAGCATTGCAACAAGTCGTTTGCTTGCCTTCATCAGTGCATTCAGCAATGATGTCCAGGAAGATGCCATGATCTCGTATTCAGCTAGACAAACTGATGATGCCATTCCCCACTTGATAAACTCCACAATTGTGGAAATCAGGTCGGCACTCATCATGACCAGCAGCAGGCATGGCTCGAACTTGTCCTCTTTCAACCCCAATATGCGGGATAGCGCCGTCAGTAATAGCTGTTCATCACTGCTGGTGGCTGATGGATCGTCTCCAGACTTGGAAGCATCCTTTCGGCGACCACGCTTGTGTTTGGAAGATTTCTTGTCTTTGGATAAATCCCCACTCTTTGACGACGCAGACACAATCGCCTGAGCCTTTTCCAAGTCTCCACCTAAAAGACCGTCTCCGGAACAAGCCCTGATTAGGCTCTTCAATGTAGCCGCTGCATCATCAAAGATTCCAGCGAGGTCATCTACATCCTCCTCATTCTCGAGTCGTCGAGCAAGCGAAAGAAGGTGATGTCCTAGTTTCTTTCCACCGCCTCTTGGCGTCTTGGACAGCATCATCTTGCTTGTGCCTTTCCAAAAAGAGAGAAAAATGAGTGGAGGTCAGGAACGAAAATGACCTGTGGTAGCGATTTATGACTATCCAGTTACCAGATTACTAGAAATCAACCACAACAACCAAGTAGTAAACACACACAACACTATAGCAACCTCTTTATCAACACCACCACCATCAGCCTTTTTCGGCTTATCAGGCGTGGAAGCTACTACAAGACGATAGAAGAGCTACTACAAGACGATAGAAGAAGCACAAGAGGAAGATCGGTAGCAGCGCCGTTCGAACCGTTCGAACGCCATTGTCCAAGAAGAGCTACCGTTCGTTCGCTCGTTCGCTCGAACGCCATTGTCGAAGCTACCTTTCGGCCGTTCGAAGATACCGTTCGAAGCTACCGTTCGAAGCAACGTTTTCGTTCGAGCGCCATTGTCGAAGACGCTACTACCGTTCGTTCGGTCGGTTGAAGCGAGTACCCCATTGTTGCGGTCGTTCGACAAGCACAAGAAGAAGAGCCGTTCGTTCGTTCGTTCCAAGCTACCGTTCGTTCGTTCGTTCCAAGCTACCGTTCGAACGACGACGAGAAGAAGACGACGCGAACGCCATTGTCGAAGCATATCCCATTGCCGTTCGCTTGTCGAGAAGAAAGAAGAAGAAGAAGGAGCCTGTTAACAAACGGTTCATTCGTTCGTTCATTCGAAGCAGCGCCATTGTCGCCGATTCGAAGCTACCGTTTCGGAGCTACAGAACGACGAAGAGAAGAAGAAGAGAAGACCTCCAAGCGGCATAGCGACAGAAGACCTCTCAAGAAGAAGGGGCTCTCTCAAGTGGAGCGAGAGATAGAGACTTCCAAGTGGGAAGCAGAGGTTTGGACTTGGAATATTGATCCCTCCAGTCTGGATCAATTCCTGCCTCATTGTCACCAAAGAAACCGGTTGAGC